TTACAGGTGGAGACGAAACAGCATATGGGGGGAGGTTCAAAAATTATCCATCTGGTGCTTACAAAACAACCTGCACCTGAAATCAGCAAGACAAAGGAGATGGCGTTAGACTTCAGAAGAAGAGAGGGGAACCTGTCCCTCTTTATATCGAGGGGGGCTGTGTGGAGAGAGTTTCCTCCTTTAAATTCCTGGAAGTCTACCTCAGTAAAGATCTCACCTGGAAAATCAACACAACCCAGATGGCCAGAAAGACCCAACAGAGGCCTACTTTTTCAGGATCTTGAGAAAAAACAAAGTGGAACAACAACTGATAACCTCCTTTTACTGGTCCACAATAGAAAGCATCCTCACTCACTGCATTACGGTGTGGTATGCTGGCTTGATAGCCGCGATGGAAAGACACTACAGAAGGTGGTGAGCCTAGCACACAATATTGTGGGCTGTCCCCTGAAATCACTAGATGACATTGCTAGGGCTCGTTGTCTTAGAAGAGTGAGGAAAATCATCAGGGAGGACTCACACCCTGGTCAGCACTTCTTTATTGTCTTACCATTGGGAAGTAGATATAGAAGCATAGGCAACTGCACAAACAGGCTGAAAAATAGTTTTATGCGTGGGCTGTCAGACTCCTGAATGGAAATAACCTTACAACAACATAGTACGACTGACTTGCGGGGCCAGTGCGACGTGCAATAAGTTCACATAGTACAATAGGATTGTGTGTTTGTTAGTAGGATTCACTGGGTTAGGGATTTTCTGTCTTCACTGTGAATTGTATTGTGCACGAAGGGAGGCTCAGCCAATCTCATTGTACACGTTGTACTCTGACAATAAAGGTTTGAATTGAATTGAATCATCCTTATTTCTTTAATGAAAGCTAGAAATACATACAATGTAGAGAAATACAAAATTCTTAGCCATTAAGAGCAAAGGAAGTACAAAACTCAACATTCTTAAAACTCTGGAACATTCCTTTCCCTAATGAAGCATTTCAAAACCTGTTCCAGGGCTTTTCTTTTTTGAGGTTCAGCAATTTGCAGGGGAAAAAACACAATCTTCTGAACTAAAAGAAGTGCTGGTTTGGAGGATTTACTTTGGAATGTGTAAAACCCTATCAGAATTGCAAATAATATTCTAGATTTCTGAAGGAGTTTTACACATTACTTTCAGAAACTGTGCTTGCACAGTGTTCAGTGCTAACCTTGAATTTCTTGTTAAAGAAAGCTAGACAAAGGTTGCGTCCTCAACCAGATCCTTGGTGTGAAACTTCTCTGTGATATATCACTTTGACCTTCCCTCAAATTCTTTTAACAATTCTTTTACCCACATGGTATTCTGCAACACACTCACCTGTTCTGGATAACCATCCATACTCCTCTGCCCTTTAGTTTGGATGACACACCTCCCTGCTTGTGGTGCCCGAGAGCTCTGAGATGGGATCTGTATTGGCAATGGTGGCTGATACTGCTGGATTGTTACTTTGTTCATGTTGCCCTCATATGGCTGCTCTCGACTACGATGCTGTAGACTTTGTGATCCCATCAGAGTCTGAATATGGCTACCTGCCTGTGTATAATATCAATCCATTAGGCCAATAATGTGTACAATCACAAAAAGCAATACATGAAATTTTATAGTAATACAAATCTTATCTTAGTCTTCAAAGGTCAAGTGTTAACTCTAGTTGCAAATAGCTATAATTAAAAATAGTGTCATGCATTTATTCATTTAAAACATTCAACTACACTTGAAGCTGTTTTTACTAATGTGTTCATTTCCCCTCAAGAAAACTGATATTTTTACCATTGTTCCATGAAAATATTTGTGTGATATCATGTGACTGTGACTTTTTCATGCCAGCTTCCCTATTAATGGCTGTGAAGGCCATAAAAGGTGATCATATGACTGTGGGATGCTGTGACTATTCTAAATGTGACCATTGTAAATGTGCACCAGTTGCCAAGCGCCTGAATGTGTGAGGAATACTGCAATGTCTACAAGTTGAAAGATCGGTCATAAACCTACTTTTGGGGCCATTCTAACTTTGGATAGATACTGAACAAGCAGTTGGTAAACAAGGACTACCTGTATATCACACATATCAATACAATTAGGATCATTTTACCTTTCATGAATTATTTCATGCAATATTCATATATGGTGCTGCAAGTCTGGAAATCAGGATTTTATAAAGATAATTAATAATACATAAAAGGGTTATTATGAAATTTTGATTTTAAAACTTGAAGTACCATTTTTGAATAATGTAAATTCTGGAAGATATCTGGCTTACATTTGAATTACTAGGAATTTTAATTTGTTTTGAGTGTGCATTCTAAGTTTAACTTTTTAAAAAGATTTTGAAGTTAGATGGTCTGTACATTTGACATTTTTAGCTAGTAAAGCAGAAATAAGTTACTCTGGGTCAAATGCAATGAGAAGAAATAAGCTCTGCTAATATTGCGTGCTAAATAATTTTTTCAATTCATTTTCTCACCTGTTTAATAATTCATTTTGCAAATCTTTATTTTACTTTAATTTAGATATCCTGATAGAATCTATTGAATAAATGATATAAAATCCTTTTTTCCCAGAAAAACAAAGTGAAATAGTCTGATTGAAAGAATACCTTTTATTGTTTCCACTGATCTTATTTATACTGTCTGTATTCTTTTACTAAATAATTCTATGTGCAAACTTGCACTCTTTAATTGACACTACTTTTCAAATTATTGTCAAATAGTATAACAAATATTGTATTGAATAGATTATGTCATGGGACTAATAAATTAATAAACAGCATAAATAAAAATGTAAATGCTAGTAATCATGATTATGATTAGTTATGAAATTAGAAAAGGATGAAATAAATCGTGAGCTTTCTTTCCAAATCCCTTTCTTTAAATGTACCTTCCCATTTCACATCCATACACAGGAATATGTATTATGATTAGGCCAGACCCATCATCTTCCAGCATCTTTTTCTCAAAGTCATTCCTTGAAAGCAGGAAATTCTCCTATTACTGTTCCCTTGCAACTTCTATTTGGAGACATGTTATTCCTAATGTGGTGACATCAGGGGTGGGATTCTACCTGGTCGGTCCGGTTCTATAGAACTGGTTGTTATGATTCTGCCCAGTTTGGAGAACTGGCAAATTGCACAACTGGCTGGCACCTCCCTCCACTCCCCACCCATTCACTCCTTACCTGGCATCCCCGCCATCCAACTTGCCTGTGTTAGCCTAATTTTTGGTAAGTTGCTATTTTTCCTTTTATTTTCTGACCATCAGCTGTCCCAACTATCAGCTGTGCCAGGAGATTTAGATTAGCTAGAAAGCAAGAAATCCTTGGATTTCTTGCTTTCTAGCTAATCTAAAAGCAGAGCTGAACCTTCCTTAGGACTGAAGCTTCTATTTTCAGTGCAGACTCAGATAGCAAATTGCAGAATGATAGATCTCTAAGTGAATCTGTGATTCTGGGAGCAACTCAATCTGCCTGCCTACTTTGCCTGATTTTGGATAAAAGTTGCCCCTTTTTAATAAAAAAAATCAATATTTACATAATGATGTGTTGTGAATTCATTTTGTGAGTTTGCTTACTAACAAATTTAATGAGTTTGCTTGCAAGCAAATTTTATGAGGCAGACTCAGGTAGCAGATTGGTAGATCTCTAAGTGAATCTGTGATTCTGGGAGCAACTCAATCTGCCTGCCTGCTTTGCCTGATTTTAGGTAAAAGTTGCTCTTTTTTAAAATAAAAAATCAATATTTACATAAATATTAACAAACAAGCCATGCCCACCCAGTCACATGACCACCAAGCTACACCCACAAATTAGGCCATGCCCACATAACCGGTTGTTAAGAAATTTGAATCCCACCCCGGGTGACGTGACTGGTCCTTGACAGATATTTTCTTAACAATTTATCCAGTGTACTCTTCAAGCCACCTAAATTAGTTATCATATTGCTTTCTGGTAACAAATGTTACAGATTTAGCTTAGTGTGGTTATTGTATCAGGGCTACGATTAATGTTAAACACTTTAATTTGAATTCATTCACCATGTTGAATTCTAATTTCAAACCATGGCCAAGATGGAATTAATGCAAGTGACAATATAATATTTAACCATGTTTAAATCCAACTGAAAAATGTGCAGTGGAGAAAGCTCATGACACTATAATCAGTTCCTAGATTCTCATTTTTCATTTTGAGATCACTGGCAAGTATCAGATTAAGTTAATACATTTTTATAATTTCAGCATTCATTGTTTGTGATATATGTTACCTTTTTAGCGACAGTTTCTGGTGGTACATCTCGCCTTCCAAGGGGATATGGATTCCATTGGTTGCCAGAAGAAATATCTTCCTGTCCATTGTCTAAAATGCTGCTTTGTTGTGATGGGGTCTATTTTTAAAATATTGATAATTACTTAGTCAGAGCAATGCAAGCAACTCTTTTTGATTTACTAACAGTTACTTTATAACTGTGTAGACACAATACATATCTTGGAGTTTACTAATTATGCACACACATAAATATCAATATATATGTACTTAGATACATGTATTAAAGATAATGTACTTTTATAGGTTGCTAAAAATTGAACAAAGACCTTAATGGACTTCCAAAGAATATGTAAAAGATTCCAATATCAGAATATTACCACTGTTTACATATGTTTAAGATAAAAGGCTTGGCTTCTATTTCTAAATACTTTATAACAGGCATTCATACTATCCGAATGTAAAAAAATGATCACATTTTTTCTCCCATCCAAAATTTAATGTTAGAATGCATCTATAATTATTTTAAGATGCCCAATGTCACTGTATCAGTGAGCTTGGTGACAGATAAATGAATGAATGAATAAATAAGTAAATAAGGATTAAACAGGTAGTCTTCAGTTTATGACCACAACTGAACCAAAATTTGTTAAGTGAGACATTTTTAAATGAGTTTTGCCTGATTTTATGATCTCTCTTGCCTCAATTGTTAAGTGAATCACTGCAGTTGATAAGTTAGTAATTTGGTTGATAAGAGAATGTGGCTTCCCCATTAATTTTTCTTGTCAGAAGTTTGCAAAAGGTTATCGCATGACCTTGGGACGCAACAACGGTCATAAATATGAATCAGTTGACAAGCATCTGAATTTTGATCACATGACCCTGGGGATGCTGTAAAGGTCGTAACTGTGAAAAATGGTGTCAAGCCCGAAATTGACATAAGTGTAGCCATTTTAGTTAGTCTTAGTATATATTCTTTTTCTTACTTTCTCTGTGGTAGTCATGGGGGGAAGGGTTTCGGGCTTGACACATTCCTAAGGGGGGAGGAGTGGAGATAAAGAGAGATGTTTTGGCTAGATGATCTTTCTTCCCATGGGAAACGAGCTGTTCTTGCTAAGGTCCCTTGAGGTGGAGATTTATGACATCAAGCAACATTAAATTACTTCTATTGGAGAATGTGACTTATGGGCATTGTTTCTAACTTGTAATATTGTGGGGTAATTCCAGGTTGTGTCAGATCCAGAATTACCATGGACTTTGCTAATTTGATTCTTTCCTAAATAAATCTTTTTGAAGATGGACTTTGCATTTTTCTTTTTAAATGGATTTCATCACTTGGAAACCTGACAAATGGTCATTAAATCACTTTTTTTCAGTTGTAACTTTGGTCACTAAATGAACTCTTGTAAGCTGTGGACTACCATAACAATATAATCTTTGTGGTCCCATAGTAACTTTTATGTTAGAAATATGAAAGGACTGGTTTAAGTAGAGGAAGAATTTTAGAAAAAGAGATTATATGACATCCATTATGATAGTGAATAATTTCTGTATTTAAAGATTGAGTTATTAATTTTAGATGTACCAAGGAAACAACCATCTTGCAGAACCTTAATACTGTTACTGTAATATAGTATAATGTTTCTAATGTCCAGAAAATAAAAGCATTCGGAGTCAGATATACTGACCTTTTACTGCATTTGTCTATATGAAAACATAAAGTTCAGAATGATAAAATAATCATAGGAAAAATAATCATATACTCCTGATTAAAAACATCATAAAAGAACTGAATGAACTTTACCAGAGTCAAACTTTTTTTGCAGTAGAATTTTACATATCAGAAAAAAAGTCTCCCAGTGATTCTTTGTAAAATATTTAATTAAGAAACTACACATTGGTAGAAACTGCCAACCAAATGAACCTTGAAAAGATACAACTGCTTTAGTTTGAAAATTTTGTAATACTTTTTAAAAATGCCTTTAAATTTTTCCTAACTTTAATGAATCTTTAATGAATAAATTTTCATTAGAGAATTTTACATGGAGACTTGATCGCCATTTTATTAAATGAACTTTTTAATCAAGGAATGTCCAGTTCACAGGAAGATCAACAGACAATTGAAATTAATGATTAGTTTAAACTACTCATAGTTTTACCAAAACATCTTATTATGCATATTTTGATTGCTTGTAAAGAAGCAATCAAATGCTTTTTAATAACTCACTCATTTCCTTTCTTTTGTTATAAATATTCTTGGCATTATTAGACTTACTAGGCCAAGGCAAATAAATATGCACATATTTTATACTTTCAAGGTGGGGACAGGAATCATAAATAAGTCAAATCCTGTAAAGATTCTAGTAAATTTCTAATCCAAAGCAAATCCTATGCCATTATTCTAGAACATCTCACTGTATGTTTGGGAACATGCCTTAAGCAATACAGTCTGGCATGAATCAGTGACTGTATTTAGGAATAACGACATCCAATTTCATTTTAAGTGGGTAAACAAGAGCTTGTAATGGGATATATGCATTCTTACACGGCATACCCAAACAGTTAAATTTAAGGAACAATTATTCCAATTTCAAGTTCATAGGTAGAAATGCAAAATCAGCTCAATGATAAAAAAGAAGATATATATATATCAATGGGGAAAATTGAAGTATTATAGTTATTTCAATGCCAAGACCCACTAGCTTGTTTCAGTGATGTCCAACCCCCTTTCATACACTGAGAGAGAAAAAACCATGCACCTGCTGACAACAGGTAGTTCTTTAAAAAAGAAAAGAAATAAAATGAAAGTATATTATTAATGTTGCTAATTCTAGAAAGCACAAAGAGAGGGATCAATATCATAAGTAACTGCAGTGATGCAAAGTGGATAAGGATCAAAATGTGCATTGCGATATCATGATGCAAGTCCCATTACTTGCGTAATTTTGTCCAGTGTCAGGATACAGGTACAAAAAGAATACTTTATAATTTGGTTTAGTTAATTCATATCCTCTGTTCAGAACATCTTTTGCCCATTTGTGCGCATTTAACTTGAACAAGTGAAAAGTATTTTGAATCTTATATTTTAGAATACCACTTACAAAATCAGGAGCCTATTTCTTTCTGCCAAAGAAACTGACTGAATTAATTTGAACTTTATTCAGAACTTTCTGTAAAATGTTGTGGGATATAACCCATCTGGATTTTTAAATACACATGGGGTTAGATGCAACATATAGCTAACTCTACAACAGTTTACATACAGAAACACACAAATACAGTAAAAGATGTGAGCAGGACATACATCTGACATTTCTCTTGAGTTAAAGTTGTAAGCTACTCTTAATCAGGAATCTAGTGTCTGTAGATTTTGAATACTGAAATGCTACCTTAAATTAAATGAATTTGTAATGAACCTTTGGTAGTAACTTTAGGTATATGAATGGTACTAATGCCCCTGACATCTCTAAACATTGACAACATGAAACATACATAACTCTTTGATTTTTCTGGTTAACATATGGAGTTCTGTACATCAGTCTGCAAGAGAAGAGCAGAAAGCAGCATGACAAAGATGTGGTGAGCCAAATTACTTGGAGAAGAAGAGAGGTCACAGGGGCAAATTAGGTTTAACTTCACTTTTTGGGTCGCTTTTGGAATACAAGCATGAATAATAGAAATGAGCTAAAACGGGAGATGGTATGGAGGAGTATTTATTATGGAGACTTTGATATGTGAAAGCTATCTCATACTTACTTTCGGTAGAGGTAGCTCTTGATGCATTTGGCTTTCAAATTTAGATTTAGTCTGCAAGTTTAATGTCATGCTTCTGCCCGCATGCATTGCTGACAAACCTCCAGAGCGCAGCATGCCAAGGTTAACAGTGTTGTGTTTATAAGCAGCAGTCTGAGTAGAGGAAATAACAATCACGTGACGAGATATGAACACACATGCTTATTCAGAAAACATACTGCACATAGTCTCAATTAAAGCAAACAAACAATACCAAGAAATAAGGAGCTTATTTATGCATGCACTATAAGACAGAAGCACAGGGAGTGCTAGTTGTACATAAAATGGTTACAGTACCATAAAAAGACACTGACATAAAAAAGCAAACTTCATACCAATGGTCTCTAAATCATAGTTAATATACAAAACCAAGTTAACTTTGTGAGGAAGGAAACACTGAGGTGCTTTATTTACCTCTTTACAATAAAATATCATGTATCATCTCAGAAACTAAATAAATTGGAAAGAAAATGCAGGAGGTCCCGAGCACTCTGAGAAAGAAAAATCGAACCACCAAATTTGGGGGAAGAAAAAAAGTTTTAAAGGCAAATAAAATAATACTTGTTTGTGAATATGCTTAACCACACCAAAACATGATGAGGCTGGATATTTGAATTTTTCACAACTGAGATATTAGTTGCTCAGTAATCCCAAGAATTGAATTTCACACAGAACACAAGACAACATTTATTAAACTTGCTCACAAGCTGTATCTTAAAATTGATTTTACTCAACATACTGCTATATATTGGAATGTACAGTATATTATTTCTGTGTCAAGTATGACAAATACATACTGGCAAGAGATTATGCATTATATATTACCTAGAATTTAATTTAGACAAATGACAGAGATCCTAACTTACTCCATTCCCATTAGGTCTCCAAACAGATGACACTGATTTAACATATGCAGGTAATCCTCTAATTATTATAATGGAGGTCATCACAGTCATAAGTTGTGCTGGTCATAAATTAGCCACCCACATTACCAACCTGATTTTACAACCTTTTTTTGCAGTGTTGTTTAGTGACTACCACAGTCATTAAGTGACGCCTACAGTCATTAAGCAAACACTGAGGTTGACAAGTGAACACTGTGATCATTAAGCAAACCAATGATTCACTATGGCTGGTTTTACCAAAAACCAGAAATGCTGGTTTTCAACACAACTATTGAAAAATGCAGTCATGCAGTAGTGGGATTCAAAAAATTTTATTACCGGTTCTGTGGGCGTGGCTTGGTGGGCCTGGCAGGGGAAGGATACTGTAAAATCTCCAGTCAGAGGTGGTATTTACTAGTTCTCCAAACTGCTCAAAATTTCCGCTACTGGTTCTCCAGAACTGGTCAGAATCTGCTGAATACCACCTCTGTGGTCATGTGACTTTAGGATGTGGCAAACAGCCATAAAGGAGGGCCAGTTGCTGAGTGCCCAAACTGTGATCACATGCACGTGGTTTGGCAACTTTGAATCTGGGTCATAGGTACTCCTAGTGTGGTCCATCATAACTTCAAACAGTTGCTAAGTGACCAGTCATAAGTCAAGGACTACCTGTACTAAATAGTAATAGGCAGAAATGCTGACACATAAGAGAATTCTTGTCTGACAGCTGAAATATAATCAAATGCTAATGTTATCTTAGTGTATAGGGAAAGGTATGCCTAGTAATATTGAGAAGAAAAGGTGATTTGGACCATGAGGAGGTGCTTATCTAACATGTATTGGCAGCTCTTTAAAGCAGCTGCATCTTTCTTGGTGTCCATAGGCAATCCCCGAAGCCAGTTCACCTGGTAGCCAGTATAACTCCAGAAAGCGGTCCATTTCTGCATGTACTGCTGCATCCTGGACCAGCTGTAAGTTTCCAATGCTATGTATATATGTACATATGTTTTTATTTATTTAAAGTATGTATAAGCAGTCCCATGTCCAATATTTTGGATTAGTCTATTTGTCAGGTGATTAGGGCAGGATTACAGGTAGTCCTCCACTAACAACTACTACTGAGTCCAAAATTTCTGTTGTTAAGCAAGGCAGTTGTTAAATGTGTTGTGCCCCATTTTACAACCCTTGTTGCCACAGTTATTAAATGAATCACTGCAGTTGTTAAGTAAGTCATGTATTTGTTAGCACATCTGGCTGCCCACATTAACTTTGCTTGTTAGAAGCCAGATGGGTGGGTTACAAATGATGATCGCATGACTCCAGGACAAGGCAATTTTCATAAATACATGCCAGTTGTCAAGTACCTGAAGTTCGACTACGTGACCATGGAGATGCTGCAATGGTTGTGTAAAAACTGGTTGTAAGCGTGAAAACTGATCATAAGTCATTTTTTTCAGTGCTATTGCAACTTTGAACAGTCTCTGAACGAACGGCTGTATATTGAGGACTACCCGTATCCAAAGGGTCTTCCAATCTAGGATTGAGTGCAACTGATGCACAAGATGAATATGTGTCAAGGCGGGGGGGGGGGGGGGGGATTTTTTTTCTACCGGGTTTGGGGGGGGGGGGGGGGGGGGGGGGGGGGGGGTTGAATTTTTTTACTACCGGTTCTGTGGGTGTGGCTTGGTGGGCGTGGCAGGGGAAGGATACTGCAAAATCCCCATTCCCTCCCCACCCCACTAACCTGCTTTTCAGCTCTGTTCTCCTGTGCAGGGCAACAAAAGAAGACCCAGCCAATCAGCTGGGACTCAAGAGACAGAGAATAAATGGGGGCGGGGCCAATCAGAGATGGTATTTGCCAGTTCTCTGAACTACTCAAAATTTCCACTACCGGTTCTCCAGAACTGGTCAGAACCTGCTGAATACCACCTCTGCTCCCCACCCCACTAACCTGCTTTCCAGCTCCGTTCTCTTGTGCAGGGCAACAAAAGGAGACCCAGCCAATCAGTTGGGACTTGGGAGGCAGAGAATAGATGGTGGCGGGGCCAGTCAGAGGTGGTATTTGCTGATTCTCCGAACTACTAAAAATTTCCGCTACCGGTTCTCCAGAACTGGTCAGAACCTGCTGAATATCATCTCTGGTCAAGGTCCTTGATAGATAGATAGAGGAAGGGCCTAGGTGCAAATATCCACAATTCCGGTGAGGATTCAGTGCATTCCTCCCCTTAACCACTAACCTCTAGACATGTACCCAGGATGACAGCATCACATAGAAATTTTAAGTACTGCTAAAAGCCTTCTATCTAATGTCATATTTATATAGCAATATCTCTTCTTTTTAAAAGAAACAGAAATGCCAAATTATATTCATTCATATGCACATTAAAAGAAAAATAAAACAAACTAACCAAAGAATAATGTTCACAGCTTGCTAGAGCCAATTCTTTTTCCTTTGCTTTTCCCTAGCATTCAGATTTAGGATTGACATCAATCTTAAATCTGAGCCTTTTAGCAGCATGTAGCAAAACAAAAAAACAAAAAACAAACCTCAAGAAATACAATATTCATTTTTCTTTTTGCATTCTGAGCTCTCTTTCTGTGTTCTCTAAACTAATGCCCTTTTTCCAGGAATTAGAATATGAACTTTGATTCATTGAAGCACATTTTTGAGAAACTACTTTGAATTATATTTTTTCCACTATTAATCTCCTTGTCTTCCATGCTCCTATGTGAGATTGCAATTAATTTGAGCATAGGAAAATAACTTTATTATAACTGATTGTGGGTTAAAAATTTAGTCACTTATTTAAGCACATAAGTTTCTTTTTTTAAAAAAGGACCAAGAGACTTCAGGCAAGCAATGTGGAAAACAAATGTGATGAAAAATATAATTGAAATCATAACATCATTATCTTAAACTTTTTTGTGATGAGGTGGCATATGACAGCCAGTCTGGTGTAAGGTTAAGGTGATGGGCTAGAAACCAGGAGCCTGTGAATTCTAGTCCTGCTTTGCGCATGAAAGCCAGATAGGTGACTTTAGGTCAGTCACTCTGACTCAGCCGAATCAACCTCTCATATGATTATTGTAGTGGAAAAAAATAGGAGGAGGAAGGAGTACTAGGTATGTTCGCGGCTTTGAATTACTTTTAAAGTAATAAAGGTGGGATAAAAAAATCTAATGAATAAATATATACATACAGTAAAGATGATGCTTCTCATCTCAGAGGAAAGCTATTCTATCAAAGGATACAGCTCCATGTCCATAAAAATATGAATAGTACGAGTGATATACTGCAATATTTACTTATCATATTTAGCCATTTACATAATTTTAATTCCTTGTTGATGTAATGAATACAAGGAACAACTTTGAGGACCAGAGGAAGAGATATAACTATAGTTAGATAAAAGAAATTTGAGTCCAGAGAAGAACTGTATCTTCAGGAAATGTCTCACACAAAGTGCTTCCTATTTCTGATAAGATAAAGGAAGAGAGAAGGAAAGCGCATTTAAAGTTGAAAGATTCTGTTTCTATAATCTTATAATAAAAGGAATGTTAGTTCAAGTCCCATCTTAGCTATGAAAGACAGCTGGGTAACCTTGGCCCAGTCACTTTCTCTTAGCCCTACCTACCTCACAGAGTTTTTGTTATAGGGGAAATAGGAAGAGGAAGATATGCTGGATATGTTTGCCATTTTAACTTATTTGTAAAAATAATAAAAGGTGGGATACAAATAAATAAATAAATTAGAATGCATAGTCTATCTTGAAGACTTGACAAGTTTTCCACTGCTGTGGGGTGGGCAGCGGTTGGTATGCTGCTCATTCCTCTGCCAATAAGATAAGCATAAAAAGGCAACTCCCTCAAAAACAAGAACATCTATAATATGGACAAAATTGCCCTCAAAATAATTAGTAGTAACTATACGAATTATGTGCCTGCAAAATTCCAACTCATATATCTTCTGTGCTATATGGAGCAATCAGGTCTATGAAACCCAGGATGGAAGGCGCAAAAAGGAACTCCATAGGAGGGAATTCCAAAATAATGGGAGCGGCAATTGAAGAAGTTCACTTCTGAGGTCCCATCAGATAACAGTCTCATATTAGATGGGGCCTGACAGGACTTGACTGTTCAGTTTAATTATAACAGGCAGACAAATACAGAAGGTGGTTACTTAGATAACTTGATCTGGAGTAATCTAAGGTCTTAAGGGTACAATAACTTGAAGGTGACAGGAACTTGAATTGCACCTGGAAACCAAATGGTAGCCTTAGCTCCCAAAGCAATGTTGTCTGCCAACTATATTAGGATGTCCATCCTTGTTTGGGCTGCTGAATTTTGTACCAGTTGTAGCCTCTCAAGGAAGGCTCCATATAAAGATGTCCATCCTTGTTTGGGCTGTTGAATTTTGTATCAGTTGTAGCTTTCCAAGGAAGGCTCCATAAAGAGCACATGATGATTATCCTAGTGAAAGGTGACTATGGCATGTGACTTATAGCTTCTATTACTTTTCACTTCTCTGCTCCTATTCACTCACATTCAGTTTTTTTTTCTTGCAGAAAGTTCCAACTGTGTGTTAGTTGTAGAAATATGCATTTGTAATCCTAAATGGAAAAGTGAAGGTGAAGGGACAGAGTTTGGATTTTGTAAACTTCTACTTCCAAACTTTTAATTGCTGTAAAGATATCAGTACTTCATTTTCTAAACTACTCTCCAATATGGCTATTCCAATGATACTGACATTAAACCACTTTGATTAAACTTTTAGTGAGTTCCTAAACACTTTCAACTAGATTAAACCCATGCAAGTTTTGAGTTTTTAATTTTGTGATGATTTAGCACTGAAATTACAAAAACATAATTCTAGACTCATAGGATTATAGAAATCAACAGCTTATATTTCTTTTGTCCATGAAAACTAGATAAGTTAAAAATAAGCTCTGTGAGATAGTTGTTTTCCACATATGCAGTATTCCACATAGTAGTTGTTATAACCGAATGGTTAATTTACCACTTACTGAATCACAGCTAAACTGTGAACTGCTTTCAGACATTCATTCTTTTTCATTTTGCTTATTTAAAGATTCAAAATGCAGCAATAGATTATGAAATACATTTAGTGGTTAGGGTAACAGTAATTTTATGGCAAGAGACAATTTGGTGTAGTGGTTCATCAGGCTAGAACCTGGGAGCCTGTGAGTTCTAGTCCCATCTTAGTTACAAAGTCAGTAGGGTGGTCTTAGGCCAGTCATTTTTCCTCAGCCCTATAAGAAGGCAATGGCAACCCAATTCTGGAAAATCCCTGCCAAGAAAACTTCTGGAACTTGTCTAGGCAGTTTCCAAAAATCAGACACAACTGAACAGGAAAAAATGACAGAAAATTTGAGCACAAGGAAAATATGAATCATATAGACTACTATATGATTCACATTTTCCAAAATAATTCAAATATTTTTGCTGGCATATTTGTTCATCTCAATTCTGCATTTCTTTTACAAGAATCTACAGAGATGAACTTCTTCGTATTTAACCTATAATCAAGGCAATCTAGATGAAGAAAAAACAGTATACAGTAGACAAAACAAATAAGCAAATTGTAAGGCTTTAAAAGGCTGATGAAAAAAATTTCTGAGAAAGTCTATGAAAGAGATAGGTCTTTCAACAAATCAAAAGTAATACACATTTATGTACACATTTAGTGTAATCTCATTTTTTGAACATTTAAATATTTTTTACACTTTAACTACAAAATGCAGTTTAAGATAAAAAAAACAGTTCTGCAATTCTTTCAGTGTAGTTCAGTGTAAATTTCTAAGAACATCCTGAGATGTTCCCTTTTCTTATACACAATTATAAAGTTATATTTCAGGTAGAAATTGTATTTTTTAATCCTTTCAAACTGTTATCCTACTGAAAACTGCTTATCTCTATTGCTTTTACTCTCAGTGGATAAAAGTTATAAGTGATTGTACTTTTCATGGAATCCATAGGCCTGGGAATAATGAATTCATTTCATAATGAAAACATCAGTAAAGGAAAGACAGATAAATTTTCCCTGCAACAGTGTTGTGCTGAAATTATAAGTTCAGATTGAATTAGCTGTGAAAAATAGAGTCAGAGAAAATCCTAAATCATATGTGATATACTGCTCCTTTCTCTACATATAGAACTTCTAAATTATTTCTTGCTATTTCAGTTACTATAAAGCATTTTATTCAAAGAGTAAACACCAACATCCTAATTATGGCTCCAAATAATACAATGGCTTGTAATTATGTCTACCTAGTGCAAAAAACACCAACTTTCATTGAGTTAATCTGTACATCTACCAGTTATTTGTTACTTAAGAACATTGTTCTTATGTACATTTGTAATGTAACTTAGAATTAGCTCACTCTGAGTTTTTTTTTACTTAGGTAAAGTTCATAAATATACCTAGATATACTCTAAATTAAACTTAAATCAGTTAATTTACTTCCAAATACAAAGGGTTAAGGCTTGGGTGTCAGAACATCAACATGTAATTAATATTATGGACTGAGGATGGCTTCCTATTTTTACACTCTAACCATTCCCAAGTATAGAAGAGCTTTCTCCCTAGCTCGCTTTAATGTTCTGCCCTCAGCACTACTGGATGGGCGATTTAAGAGGCTCCCGATTAACGAGCGGCTATGCCCCTGTGACAGAGCTGAGGTTAAAACTATGCAGCATGTCCTTTTACATTGCCCTATGTATAACGCTGGCAAATCTAAGTTACTGTCTCTCCTTGAAACAGACCCTTCTAGACCCAATGTTAATAATTTGTTCTTGTATTGTCTAGGGGATGGCTCCTCATATATCACTTCTTTGGTTTCCATTTTTTTTTAAGAGCTGTAACCATCAGAGAAGAACGCTGTAATTCCCCTGAGTCAAGTTTTTGGTCACCAATTGTTCATAATTAATTTTCCCTTGTTTTTCTTTTGTTGTACTTGTGTTTTGGTCTGTGACCGCAAATAAAGTATTATTATTATAACATGTAATTAATTCCTGTAATTGATCTTCTATCGTGGGTAAGGAAATCAACCAATTAATCTGCCATGACTGAGTGGCACATCTATCACTGTACAATGAAAGATAGCCTTATTCATAAACATAGAAAAAAACTCAGTGATTTTAATGGATTTCTCTGGATGTCCTTCAGAATTTTGGATTGTGCCTATTCAGCGAAAGTCTTTCTGGGCCATAAATATACATCATTTTTGTTTTGGAATTTATCCTGTCATTTTCTCTTTATAATGTAAAAAAGTAGAATATAAATACAGCCTCAGTTTAGTAGTGTCTTGATAGTTTAGCTTAAAAAACACAGTAAGTCATCACTTAGGCATTATCTGAAATATGAGTGAGGCTTTTCCTCAATTCTTCAAGAATTCCTGAAATGTATACACATTTATCTATCTTAACAGAGATATGCTTAGAACATTAACAAATAGCATATTAATCACTGCAAACAACAATTTTAAATATAAAAAAACTCAAGTCATGAATTACAAAGGAATGCCAGACATACCCTGTCTAACCTTCTAGCTTCTATATGTCTAAGTAGCTGTTGTCTCCAGTCAGCAGGCATTTTACCACAGCTCTCATTTCCCTTCACAGGGGTAGGCCTTGTCTTTAAATCAGGGTTATCTGATGGCTTCTCACCATAGTTACTCAAGTTATAGTCAGATGGTATTTTTTCCAATAGAGCTGCCATTGTTGGCCTGGCTGAAACTGGCCTGGTTTGGGAGGTACCATAACTCTCTGTACTGTAACTCCTTGCAGACAAAGGCCTCCTTTGCGTTAAGTTTTTAACAGGGAAGCTTCCAGACTGGGTTTTCACTTCTTGATATGAAGGGTGTTCATCTTCATACCTGCCATTTCTTTTGAGAAACTGGGATTCAGACACTGAAATGCTGCTTTGGCGTTCCACAGCTCCTCTATACTGATGTCTGTTATACCTATCGCTTTGAGGCATTTCATGAGGCTCACTGACTCTTCTATACATGGACATTTCAGTGGAGCTGGCCAATGAATCTGCTCTTCTTAAAAATCCAGCCCTTGATCCCTGACTTGTCAACTGAGTATTGACAGTCTCTTCATTAACAGAAGGCTGTGAGAAGGAAAACATGTGTTCCATGGGTGGATATCCTCGGTAGGCTCTGGGACTAACCAAATCCTTAGAGACATTTTTCGTCTGTTGGGGAATGTATTCTGGAGTATGTTGGAAAGGGGGCGGTAGTCTCTTTTCAGCTTTCACTTCTACCGATCCTTGAGGATTAAAACTTTGGTCAAACTGGTATACTTTTTTAGTCACAGAGGGTTTTTGCTGTTGTTGGACCTTTACGCTCCCATAAGTCAGTTCATCATCAAGCATTGGCACAGACTGGCTACGGGACATACTAGACATTCCATGTTCTGGCCCCAACATCTTATCTTGTCTGTCATGTATCCCTGCGTTATCAGTAGTAGCTGCATAGTTCTCTAGTGGTATGTTATAAACTTTATATGCACCAATATCTATCTCATCTATACTTTGTGATTTCTTAAACCGGCTTGTTTTCAAATCTCTCATCATTGGAGAAAGCCTCTCTGTACTTTTGCTGATGGAAATAATATTTTTAGAAAGCTCTGGGCGACAGTGAATGTGTGAAAAGACATTGCTGAGACTTCTGTTAGTATTGGAATCATGATATTCCCATGGTGTACCTGGAGAAAAAGTACTAGATATTTCAGGAGAGTCTTTAACAAGATCTTTCCTTTCAGGTAAAGGGCTGCTAGTAGGGGTGATCTCCAGCTTAGAAGGAAAAGCTGTCCTATCTTCAAAGGGGCTGGGTGTTCTTGTCCAGTTCTGCCAAGGGTTTGATGGAGGCACTTCTGATTCAGGAGTATTTCGCATAGTGGGTTGCTCAAGTTCTAGGGGAATACCAACTATCCTATCTTGCCTTATTAAAGGCCTGCGTCCATGAGCAGATGTGCTTCTTGATTTGGAGCTTAAGAGAGGATTGGTGCTAGGATTCTCCACAGTGTTCTCCTCTGCCACAAATCCTGTGTTATCATAGTGAGAGCTGTCATTCCAACTGTCAGCAAAGGTATCACTCATTGGACGCCTATCATTGTGTTGCTGTAAATTTCCTGCTGGAGCAGATTCCCGCTGACTGAGTAAAGGCTTGGTCTCAAGGGGTTGTGGGAAAGATTGGACAAGCCTGCAAAAAAAAAAATATTTAAAAAAGCCTGCATCAGAAAACAGTCAATTACAGCAGATTAAAACGTTAACAAATACCTGATCATTATTACATACATAGTTTAACCAATCTATTACTGAATGGAATGTTAATCTAGGCTGGAGTGGAATATGAAAATTAGTTGAGAATGTGGGTGATTTGTTAATGTCATAGTTGATTTGTTTTAATTTCTGCAATAGACAAAATATTATACAAGCAGAACAGACAAATTTTCAGAACAATGAGGCCAATGAAACACTTCTAAGCTATGTTGATGTGCTTAGCTCTTTCCTTGTTATCAATGAAATCCACCTTGGAATGAATTGTTTTCCATCCAAATAGCAGAAATGGAATGAAGGAGAAATTGGAGGATGAGGGAGGGAGGGAGAGAGAAAATTAACAGAAAAGCAAACATAACTTCCTTACTTCCTCCCTCCCTCCTTTCATAATAAATTCAGGAATATATTTATATACTAATGGAACCTAAGCACATAGCACTGAGCTTACCATCAATGTCAAAGCCTCTTTCAAAAAGTAATTGGCTATATCCCTGAAGGAATAAAATTGCCCAGTAGTTAATATAAACAGGTGTATATTGATTAAGAAAAACTAGATGACACATAATCATTACATAACCTTCTATGACCTTTGCTTAGTATTTTCAGTAGAAATAGACCCTTGGGAATCTGTGAAAGGTATAAGAAGTTTTGATATTTGATTCATTCATGAGGCATAACATTTTTTTGAATTCTGGATAGGAGATTCTCAGAAAAATCAAGAATCAAAGACAAGAATCAGGGCCTGAGCATTATTCTCTGAATTTGGCTGAAATTATAATGATGTCCACAAGCCCATGCTACCAGAGAGTACTTTCAGTTTTTTTTAAATGTAGGATTGACTGAATTCTTTTTAGTTCTGTTTATTTAAGCTTTTTGGTTAAATAAATTATATTTCCCTATAGTCAACTTGAATGCAATCAAATAAACACACCTGTTACCCCACAATGAATTATTTACTGCATCTTTAGCTGTAGTCTGCAAAGATCCTATTTTAACATGAGCATTAGAAGACCCAGAAGAAGCTTGTGATGGAGAGTAGTCTGAGTATGTGCCTGAAGAAACACTGTTATTCATGCAGTGAACTTTATCGGCTTCAGACTCATCAGTTGATTCTGGAAAAAGCAAAGTAACTCGTTAATATGAAATTAAAAATTCAGGGATGAATTTTTAGGAAACAAAATACCAACAGTACTTAGACTTATATACCCTTCACAGTACCTTACAGCCCTCTCGAAGCAGTTTACTGAGTCAGCAAATTGCCCCCAACAATCTGGGTCCTCATTTTACTGACCTTGGAAGGGTGGAAGACTAAATCAACTTTCAGCCGGTGAGGATTGAACTTCTGGCAGTCAGCAGAATTAGCCTGCAATACTGCATTCTAACCACTGCACCACCAGCAGAATTAGCCTGCAATACTGCATTCTAACCACCTCATACACACACACACACAAAATATATGTTATAATTAAACACAGAAAGTGATTTCTAATCCTTTTCTTTTCTGTTTAGCCACATGTCTTCATATGTGCTTCTGCTAGGACTCCACATAAAAAACAAATGCAGCTAATCAGCATTATCTTCTGCTTGATAACCTTCAGTCACATCGGACACTTGCAGAGATTATGGCAATCAAGTAATGCAGCTAGCCTTACACAGCACATTGATTTATTATTATAGTTTTGCACTTTGCTTCTCACACTTATACATATGTTTGTTAAAATAGCTATTTTTCTTTGATAAAATATATTAATTATAATGATAGGAAGAATTGATTTTTTTTTTTGCTACTGAAGGATGTTTTTGCAGCATTCCACACTCTCCATGAGCTTAAGCAAACTGCAAAGGTCACAAACAAGATGGCCCAGGAACTTTGGTTGAAGATGGATCAGTTGTCTTTCCTCAGTAAATGAAAGTACTGTAACTATTTTCAAGATATATAACAATGCAATATCTTCTCAGCTACAACTTCAATATGATCAAATGGTCATAATAATCTATGACCACAGTATTGTAAAATTACTTACATATAGTTTGATGTGTAAGCAACTATGCTACTGTATTCAGGATTTAGGATCAGTCTGATGCTTTATAATCATATACTTAAAAGCATTTACCACAAAGCATTTCTGTATAAAGAACAATAATAGTTCTGCATCATTCTTCACCCATTATCTCCAGTTATGACACAGGAGTTTAGAAAAATCAAGTACCTTTTTTTTCTTTTCCTAAGAGAACAAGTTTTGGTTGATATAATGGTGCATCAGTCATTGAGGGGCGAAGCTCTCCTATCCTCATGTCATTCACTGGGTGTACAAAAGAATCCTGTAAATTGGAATAATATTGGAAAATTGAATATCATAAAGACAAAGAGGCAATTTTCAGTGGACTTTAAACTATACTTTTATGAGAACTATGAATACTAAGCACATTCACTTGGAAGATAGTGGCAAATATTATCTGGCAGAATTCAGTATTAAAATTATCCAAAACATTAACCTACATATTAAAAATCAAGAAGCATGACTAGCAAACTCATGCTCACAAAAGCATGATGATGTGCCCCCAGCTAATTCACATAATTAGACAGTTTGGAACTACTGAAAGCCTGCTGACTACTTGTCTCAGTAGTTCCATGCTGCAGAGTAGACCTGAATAGCCTGTGGAACTCAATCCTGCTTGCCAGAGCCTTCCACCTCAGGGACTTCTCAGCCAAGACCAAGTGACCCTGATCTGAGAGACACTGAGCGCACATTCAGGAGGCTACACAGCACAGAAGTGCTAGAAGACTGTAAGTTTTGGCAGGAAAATAGATGAGCTGCTACAAGGTGATTGATGAGACTCAGCTGTATGCTAAAAATGGACCTAGGGTAAATATCTTCACCTTCCCTTGCATGTGGAAATGATTTTTACACTGGGAGTATTGCTTGTTTTACTGTAGTTATAATGTTCCTCTTCGACCTTTAGACTTTGTTGTTTGCTTATTTTTCTGGGATTCCCAATTTGGCATTTTAGATTAGTTTTCTATATCTTCTGTTGCAACGTTATGTTACCTAAGGTATTTAAATTCAAACTTGATTACTTCCTATTTCTTGCTGTTGCTTTTTTCTCAATTTACTTCTTCTACTCTGTACCTGGCATTGAAGAGTTTTATAACCGGTCAGATTGCAGGACAAGCAGAAAACATGATAATTTTTACTATTCCTTTAATTTTCATCAATTGATTCCTCCCTGCAATTGAGTGCCATTCTGGATGATAGTTAAGCTATACTGACATTATTTTCATATTATACCACCAAGGTTTTTGTGTACTAACATTCTTTTTTTTTGTTATCTGTAGTAACAATGGTTTTACTTAGTTTTTATTATTAATAGAATACTTTTTAAAAAAATAAAATGACTTGTGTACAGAAAGTAATCTACCTATGCAATTGGTTTCTAATGCATGTGCAAAATTGCTGAAAGAACACTCCATCTTAAAATTAATGATTATGCTTCTTTCATAAGTCAAGGGGTCTTCCATATTTCTTAAAACTGTTATGAAACATCCTCCCTTCTATATTTATCTTCTCTTGAGAAAACCAACTTTTCTGTTGATCATCTATTTTGGGCCATCTAGATCAGGGATGTCAAACTCGTGTTGTCACAGCAGCATCATGTGACGTATTGGGACTTTTCCCCTCTTCGCTAAACTGGACATGGTGTGGCCAGTGCATGATGCATCCGGCCCGTGGACCATGAGTTTGACAGCCCTGATCTAGCTCTAGAAGTTCTTCAGATCTCCAAATCAGTATAATAATTACTAATAACTACTGGAGAATAATAGACAATAACAATAGAGATAGACAGACAGACAGATACTGCTTCAATCTTAAAATCATTACTTTTTTTTTTTTATAAATATAGTTTATTAATTTTTACAATTAAAACCAGTCACAATACATACACAAATAAGCAAAAGAAAGAGAAAAAAAAAAGAAAGAAGAGAGAAGAGGAAGAGAGGGAAAAAATTTGGGAAAAGAAAGAAAGAAAGAGGTTACAGGATAAAAAGTATTCTTATTTTAACAGTTTGCAAGATCTTCTTTTGTTTTCATCACCTTAACTTGTGTCATATAACCACACCTGTTTTTAACTTATATCGCTACCTCGTTATTATGTATTGATACTTTTCTTTTATGCCTTATGATATATAATTTATCTTTGGTCAATCCAATTATACCAACAATTCCAGCTATCGTAGTATAGTGTAGCGTCTTTGTTTTTTAGCGCCAAAGTCAATTTATCCATTTCTGCGTATTTTGAGATTTTTTCAATAATCATTTCTTCTGATGGAATTTGATGTTGTTTCCAGTGCTGAGCGAAGGCTAATCTGGCCGCTGTTAAAATGTGTATTGTTAAAATGTGTATTGTTATGTATTTGGTTTTTTTGGAAATATGCTTATCAAAAATCCCTAGTAGGAAGGACTCTGGTTTGTATTCGATCTGCTCTTTGGTGATTTCTTCCAACCAAGTTTTAAAATCATTACTTTAAAGAACACTGGTGTTTATTCTTTGTTACCTCCACTGACAGCTCTTTTGTTGCCATGGGCCACTTGTGCTCAAATTTGTCTTTCACAACTTGTTCTGAACTGCCAGATGGTGCTGAATTCTCAGGCCTCACTCCATGAGTAGATTTTCCCACCAAATTTTGAACAGATTTCACCATGTTTTTTAAATCTTCTGGATATGGAGTTGGATAACGCTTTAAATTTATTTCAACCTGAATATGTAGTTAACAAAATAAATTAAAAGTAGAAGCAGAAAAGAAGAAGAATTGTTAAAATGTTCAGTTTGATTACCAAGGTGATATACATTGCAAAACACAGACAGTGAATTTAGGAATTTGAGACAATGTTAACATAGAACATCTGCTACACTGCACTTTTTGAAATGCAAAAGCCAGTATCACATATAATAGGGTGGTGCAGAATTCCAATCCATTGTTGTCAGTGATAAAAATGTGATCAAAATTATACCATGATACTTATGATGCAAAATATTCCTATAATAGTTTAGGCAGATTCTAGAAATTCACTAATATAAGGAATGTAACTCTGGATCTATAACACAATATTGTGACTGCTTATTTGAATATACTGTACCCAAAATATACAACCCAAAAGGAGCCTAATTGTCTTTAAGTCTATAAAAGCTATGAAACTTAAGTGAATTGCATTCAATATTGAACAATTATTTTTCTTCTCTGATAAATGGGTATACTTGAATAAACTGTGACACTTTATTTACCACAAACATAAAAAATAGATGTACAGCCAAGATTCCAAAGCATACACAGCTTAATAGGCATCCATTCAAAAAAGCTTGACTGATATGAAAAATACAGACTATGGTACAAATTTACACTCAATGTTGAAGTATAATAAAATACGCATTACAGACAAGCACATCGAAACATAGACCTCAGTAGCAAATATAAAATATTACATGGTGTCAATGTCCTGCACAAGAACTATTTAACTGTAATGAGTGGATATAACACTACTACAGCTCTCATTGATAATCTAAAGACTGCAAATGCTGATAGGCTCATCTAAGCACTTGTATTAAAAATTATCTGGGCAATGGCTTAACTGATGCCCAATACAATCTACAAAAAGGGGGGACATAAGCAAATTGTGCATGCATTGGAAAAACTACTAAAATACAAAGTAGCTAAACTTAAACAAAGATATCTGACTAAAGCAATTTATCTTAGATCAATATTATTTTTCAGAGGTAAATTATTCTCAGATGTGCTAGATAGAAGTAGGGTGAAGATATTCCTATATTAATATTAAAAAGGATAATTACCAATGCAGTCTAGACTCCCTTTCTATTCATGGTCTTTTATGTTTCACATTTAAAGTTACCTCAGAAGTAGCATGCCGCTGGGGATAAAAACCTTCCAAAGTGCAATATTCCTGGATAGAAGAATTTCTTTTTTAATTTCTACTGTCAAATTCAATTCAGCAAACAATGATATACTTGACCAAAAGCAAATGTTATAAGATTCATCAATGCAGATTTGTTATGAAAAAATGTGTTATAAGATCCATCTCAGTTAAATGTAAAAAGCAACTTATAAGTACCTAGCAGGCTGCTTTAGGACAAGCATTTTCTTGAAAATCAGGCCTTTGATATTGACTGTTCTTTTGCCCCTTAAAATAATGCCTTCGTTATGCAGTGCATATGACAGAGAGGCAAGATATAAAATATTTTGATCAGTTCTAAGATGAAATCTTTACCCTATGTTTCATTACCTGGATGAGATTGTAAGAAAATATTTTTTAAATACCCAAATATTTACCAGTCAGTACATATCTGATTAGATATCAAGCAATATTTTCAAGTTTCTTAAATTTTAATTTTGAAAAACTTCCTATTTCATTAGACTTGCAACCATTTTAGGAAAAATGCTGATCTTTTTCTATATTTACATCTACAGTATGATGTGAAATTAATAGGCATATGTCCACTGTCTCTTTAATATGAGGATTTAAAATAATGCATTTTCAATTGTTGGCAGATTTTTAGTTCTTGCAGAGATATTGGTATATTAATACATTTTAATATTACCATATTAACAATAATTATGGCTAACAGGATTTTTTTCTTAATCCAGAATCTGGAATCAAATTACAGTTTCAGAGTCTGATTTCAGATAAATTCCGAATGTGTGAATTCATATTTAGTGTGAATAAATTCAGTGTACTTTTAGAATCTTGTTGTTGACCTGTATTGTTTGTTCATAGGGTTGTGTTCTACTATATATTGTGGTTAATTAAAGTTTTCCAGTTAATCCTGTCTATTGTTAAGGTTAGATTATTTTTTAATCAAATTAAAATCACAATGGATTTGCTAAAAATCAGAATGCATTTTGCATTGGAAAAAATTGTAATGTATTGATAAAATGTATACAGATGTATATTTGTTATTGCTCAGTTTGAATCCATCAAGTATAATAAAATCTTACTGGCAGTGGCTCTTGTGCAATTTTGTAACTATTAGAAGTACTAAGGGTTTTCACATGAAGACATAACTTACCATGTAAATATTTTGAAAATGTATTTATCATATATATGCTACCTCCCTGAATATTAAAAATGTAAAATTTAAAACCTCATAAACAGCCTATAGAGAGATAGGAGGAATACAGTGGAAAGTTATTTTTATTATTTTATTTAAATATTTCAGTCAATTTCTATTTGCTGCTGGAATATTTTATGCATTTTTGAGGGTTTTTTGTGTAAATATAAAGAGAATATAAATTAGTTGTAGTGTTATTTTTTTCTTGAAGTATAAAATTATCTTTACTTGAAGACGAAACCAGATTGTATGTATGTTACAGTCATTAACAAAACATCTCACTAAAACTAGTGATCCACTTTGAAAGAAGCAAAGTGGAAGGAAGCAAAAGTTGTATTTATACAAAGAACTCTGCTGCCCCCCCACCCCCACAATTCATTTTGATGCTTACTGCTAGAATAGATCAACCAGCTTCAAAGAGATTTACTTGAACATTTTATTTCCTCATCAAGTTATCATTTTTCTCTTGTTTCAAGCACTATGTTGTTTGAAAAATAAATGATTTCATTGATGAAAAGTTAAACACAGTTGCATTGGACAAACAAAAAAAGGAAGAAAACAACTGCAAACTAGTTTTATATTTGTATTACTATAGATATGAAGACACCTTCCCAATTCAAAGGAGTTCTTAATTTTTAAGAAGCAAGGAGCTGTTTGATTTTCCCAATCAAATGTATTTACTTCATACTTCTTTTTAAATTGATAGAGGGGGTGGGGAGCAAAACCATGGCTCTTGTGTGCTTTATATAAATTTTCTATGGAACTGGAACAACACTTAGGTCATTACATAAAATAATTTTGTTCTTAAAGGAGATTGAAATTTATCAGCATTTCAGTAGAAATGTATTTGATGGCAGAAAAAGTTGAATTATAAGTGATCCATATAAACATGTTGCTTTACATGTGTAGCAGGGTTATGTGTGTTTGTGTGTATACATGTATATGCCCCTGACATGTCCTTGATTATTTATTCAAGAAATTTGAATAAATCTCAATCACAAAAACAAAAACAATGTCCTAGGGCAGAGATATTATTTTTCTTTATTTCTCCTATGAAGTCTATTCATATCCTTGATCTTCCAACCACCACTTAATTAGCAGGTTTTTTAGAATCAAATATATTTTCAAAATGTCTGCTTTAAATAAACTTGGCATCTAGCCTCAAGGTGCTATATCTGTGAGGAGAGCTAGTTTATTATAGTGGGTAAGATATCACTACTTCCAGGTGCCTCCATTCCAACTGCAATCTGTTTGATCATGATTCCCACTAATCAATATCTTTCATGATAACTTATCTTACAGTATTGTTTTTTATTTGATGAATTTTCATATGCAGTAAATCATCTCAAGGTCTCATGGGAAATTCAACATTTCAATTTAGTGCAGTAATAATTAGATAATGATACATATAACTTTATCCTCTATTTCTGTGGTTAATCAAAATAATCCTAATTGTAGCCAAACACTAAGATATTTTTGCATAAGAAATATTGTGTGAAATATCAACCTTATTGGGTTTACTGCTTTCTTATGAAATTGAGACAACAGAAGTAAACCTCAGGGATGCTGAAAATGAAACTGAAATGCAGATCTTCATTTAAAGTATTTGTTCATAAAGTCACATTATTTCATTCTTGCTACAATCTTGTACATTTTTATATGATCTACTCTATCTTTAGACTGAATGAGATAGCAATTTAAGGAAACACATGCTAATAAAAACAGTATAATCTTTGTATTCTTCAAATTAGGAGATTGTCCTGCATTTGTATTGTATTATTGAAAGTGTTGAAATAACACTTGTGTCAAACTGGTTGATTTCTATAGCTGGAAGGAGGTGGAAAAGGAAGGTGTCATTGTTTTAGACAGCAAACTGTTCTGAGCCATCTCTGATGAATATGGAATGGAGATACTTTCCTTGTATAACATGTAGAGATTCAAGAACGAATTGAAAATAAGAAGGGGTCTTATAGTTAATATACAAAATTCTATGAAAGTAGAATGATATTTTTCCATAAGATTGTAAATAAGGTTTCATTATCAATATTGTATCAGTTTTCTTGTGAAATAAAGGGTTAGGATTAGGCTTTTGCAATTTTGAAAAAAAAGACATTTATGTCAATATGAATTAATTAATTGAATTCTTATGATGTTCCCTGTTGTGTAATTACCTCTGATTTGGCTTAGTAAATGAATCTAACATCCTTTTTATCTCTCTCATTCTATTTTATAAAGAATGAATCTCCTTTATTAATGTCCTTTAAAGTGACAGCAATCTCTTAACTAATAAGATAAGACATTTGTCAAGTTTGGGCATCCAGTTCCATTGATCATATACTATTCCTATTTTTTGAAACAGTAAAAATATGGCACAAAAGGCATTTAGAATGCAGTCATTTTAGTTCCGCCAAATCTAATTTGTAAGAAGGCAATATGTAATTTCAATTTCCATACAGTAGGGATTTATAATACTGACACTTTTTTTCTTTCTAAATGTCACAAGCCATTATACCAACTATCAAGCAAACCATGGGCATTAAGACAAGATGGCTATTAGAGGGAAAGTATTATTTAAAAAAGAGAATCAGAGTCATAGAATGTCCTCACACAATGCAGATTTAAAAATATGTAGTCTTTCACACTGCCAGCCATAGAAGAAGAGGCTCTAAGCATTTGCAACATTCCATCTGTCATAGCTTATACTGCACAGTTCAAGCAAAGTCCCAGAAGACAATCCATATTTCAAAAGATATTCCTATACAATCAGTAATATTTCATATATATGTACCTACTAGATACTACATTGATACATAGATACATGGAATAGATACTATTCCAGTGGTTGGGTATTTATGGTACTCCAAATGTTGCTGAACAAAGTCAGTCTGGGGCTCAAAGTGGAGTACTGACAACTTAGGTTCAGCACGTTCTAGAAGGTCATAGGTATTCCACCCATAATTTATTTATTTTCTATATTCACTGAATGTTACCTGAACTGCAACTATAACCAAGAAATATAATTCCACTTACCTTAACTTTTCCTGCATTTTCCTCTTCTTCCTTTTTTTCCTCAAACTCAAAGGCCACTGTCATACGTTGCTGCCGCTGTTCCTCCCATAGAGTAGGATTAAAACTATCACTATCAGACTGGAAATCTGTAATTAATTTAGAAATGATGGCTAGAATCAAATAAACTACCTAACAAATTTTATTTGCTATTCTTTTAAATTTATAATGACTCTAAATAAAAAGGCACAGTTGCATGCCATGTATTTTTTTTTTCATTTCTACATTATTCATTTATGGATTCTATGAATTTTTGTTTTCCTTACCTATGCTTAGTGCATGTAGACAAAAATATTTCCTGAGCCTTCGAAAACTATTGAAAATTATTCAGAGCTTAATTTCACTCATTATAAGTCTTTATAGCATAACCCTCAAATTATGATATTATAATAAACAGCCTAAGACTTGCCATCCTAAATATAGAATTATTTTGATACTGAGATCTGTTATTTCTAAATCTATGCAAGTTCTAGTTTCTGTAACACTCTGGTTTTGGGATATAATTCTGACTGCAGAAAGCAAAAGCTAATCTAGGATAAATTGGCCAGGAAATCTGTAAAACTAAACAAGGCATGCCTTCCTGAAATTGCTTCAGAAATATGTAAATGATTTGAATGATATTACAATGATAAAAACAACAGAATTATTAATAAGATTTCTACTTACTTTTGAATATTAAATAATTATTGTGTTTTTTTGTGCATTCAGAAAAACTGGTTAATAATCTTACCTTCATCACCACGAGGTTGCTGAGGAAACATGTAGTTAGTTAACACTCTTTGCTTTGTTTCTGGATGCGCCTCAGTTTGAAGAGGAATCAGAGCCTTAGACTATACATTAAAGAGAAATGCACACACACAATATATAACATTCTATCTCATGGGAAAAAAGTAACAATGAAGCAAATTAAATTATGGAATTAAAAATATTATGAATGCTAACAAGTAGTATTTTGTTACAAAGGGTGCTGGTAATAACCTTTATTTAAAATGAAAACCTGCTAAAACTTAATATTCAGGTACAAAATTGTATTGCATTATGACCTCTGTAACATCTACAAACAATGAATGATGATGCACTATTGTGATTTATTTATTGTTCGTTCTGTTGCCATACTGTTTTGATGCAGAAAGGAAAATATGTTGTTTTTAAATCTATGGATACAATTCAGAAGCACACATGAAATTCACACACCCGTACACACATTTTACATATACAGTATATCCTTTCCTATAGTATCTCTGCTTGACTCACTTAAATCAGAGAAAAACTGCAGTATCATTTTGCATTTGAAGGGTAGGGTAGGGATAGGATAGTATCAAACAGGTCTTGAGCTTCTTCTTGTGTGAAACACGTTCATAGTGCCTCGCTTCATACAAATACTAAAGCACAATGTGATTTGTTTTTACTTTTAAATTACTAAGACAAATGATATATTAAGATAAACCAAAATCTTGCACTTAAGTCAGTTCAAAACAAATTTATTTATTAATTACATTTTCTAAAAAAATATGGAAATACTATTCATAAAAAAAGAAACAAAAAGTCTATATATTGCAGACAGTTTCCTGACAGTCAGTTCTTTTACCAAGAATCCAAGTTCTTTACCATCATCAGATTTACTGAAAAAAATGACAATAGGTAAAAATTTGGGGAAACATACTGTTTAAATTTCTGTATCCAAAATGCACAATCTGAAATTATGACTTAATGATGTCATGATGATAATGAATTTTACAAATACCAGTATACCAGTCCCCTTTTGTTTATGTACAAATGGATATTAAATACATACCTGGTTGTCTGAAAGCCACAATGCTGCAAGTTCTTTAAGCTTTGTAAAAGTTATGGGTAAATTTTTTAACCTGTTTTTTAAATACAAACAAACACAAATATTTAGAGAAAATCAATCCTTCCTGAATACTTATTTAGACTTTGCCAATTATTTAAACAACACTTTGCAGTATTCCACAATAAATATTTAGTAATTTTTAATATATCTTTTAATTATTTAAAAAATCTTTTAATAGAAACATTAATTTAACTTTTTCATTTAAAATTAAAAATGTTTCTAAATTTTTAGATGGTTAAAATAATAAATGATACTACCGACAATTTTAGCTGTGATTTGCTCATCTATATGCAACAACTGTCAAGCACTTTGGAATTAGTTGCAATCTAGAAACTTCACTTTTATTAAAAATAACACAGTTTTAAATATATTTAATAGGAATATATTTTATTGTTTTAAAAATATTTTTGGCTGTATAGATTCCAGCTAGCCCTAATTTCTGTTTTATGATGTTGCTTGATTTTTTTTTTCTTATTTACAATTTGAAGACATTTATTTAAATTAGTTGTCATATTAATTTTCTCCATGATAATATATAACAGTAAAAATGAAAAAGAGACCTGATTGAGATTCTGATTTATTAGATTTATTAAACTATTATTTTGGAACTGGTGCTCATACAGGTAGTCCTCAACTTATGTCCACAATTGAGTCCAAGATTTCTGTTCCTAAATGAAACAGTTAAGTGAATGTTGCCCAATGTTATGACCTTTCTTGCTATATTTGCTAAGTGAATCACTTGCAGTTATTAAGTTAGTTAGAAGTCTTTCCCATTAACTTTGCTTCTCAGAAAGTGATCACATGACTCCGGGATACTGCAACTGTCATGAATATGAATCAGTTGCCAAATATCTGAATTTGATCAATTTTGACCATTGGGGTGTTGGAAAGGTCATGTGAAAAGCTGTCATGGGTCGCTTTTTTCAGTACCATTGTAACAGTCATTAAACAAACCGTTGTAAATTGAGAATTACCTGTATAAACCCAATAAGGATCCATTTCAAAAAATATTTTAGCTATTCCATTTATGTAGCAAGTTCTCTTGCTTTTGAAGGAATCTCATTGCTGTACACTGTGCTATATAGCCTCATTGACTATAGATGTTTTATAAGATGTGATGTGACACTCCTTTCATGCTTCTGCCACAAAAAGATGAAAACAATTTGGTGCACATGTAAACCAGCTTACGCCACTGAAGTTGCTCATACAAATGCTGGTGTCATTTTCATTCTCTCTATGATACAGCATGCCCAGAATTTATCATATAAAAAGAAATCTTAGAAACACAATAAGGATATGAATTACATTCCATTCACAAGAAGCTTTTATGTTGAACTCCAAATTACTTTGTATTAAATGAAAGAATAGCCATGCTAGATCTGAACAAAAGAATTATCTATCCAAAATTATATATACTTAAATTCAGATGTCAATGGGAAGCTACAAGTAGTATTATTATTTTTACACTTATTTTTTAAACTGTTGATATCAAGAGGCCTACAATGCTGCAAAATGTTTAGGAGTGTACATAGCCAAATTCTTCAATTAATAGCTAGAGGAAGGAAAGGTATTTTTAAATTAGTTCAAGCTGCCTTTTAGTACTTGTTTCACCTAAATGAGCACAATTATTTGCATTTAGTACCTGTTTCTCCTCCTGCAATTATTTATGTTATGGTTGATCACACAGTCAGACAGATATTTAAACTGGGATGTGACATTTTTATCCACCTATTGAGTTCTTTCCAAAGACCTGGGATAGACAGATATTATTGTTTCATGGTGTTAGAGGTATCTGTGCAGGATGTAAACTGTTCTGAGTAAAGCTGCCTTTTGCAATTAACCAATAGTAATTTTATCAATGCTAATGTGTCCAAGTGGTATTCCAGATGTCCTGGGATTGCACTCAATGCAGCTATCACTATTGGTACTATTTTTGCTGTCTTTTGTCACAGTCATTCTACTTCTATTTGCAGGTCTTTGTATTTTGGAATTGTTGTGGCCTGTTGGCCGCTGGTCCCTCCAGCAGCTGAATCAGAGGAGGCATGGGAGTCAAGATCAGCATCAAGGCAAACTGAGAGCTCCAAGGAGGAAGAGGGAATGGAGCTAGCAGAGAAAGAGACAAAGGCGGAGCCTGGGCTGTCCATCAGCCCACAGATGGAAAGTCAACAGCCCCCGGGTCTGGAGGTGACTGATGAGGAAGAGGAAGAACAGCTGGGTCCAGTGCCTGATGTGTGGATGTGCAGAAGGCAGAGAAGAGGAAAGCAGTGGAAATCCATGGGCCGATCCTTGGGAAGGAAGAGCCACTGCTGCCAACGAAGCCTCACCCTAGCTCTGGAGATAAAAGGCAGGGGTGCAGATGAATAGATGTGGCAGACGATTATCAATCTTCCAGCCGGATGGACTTGTTAACCTGCATTAAGTGAGAAACTTTGCGAGGGCTGCTGGCAGTCCAAATAAATGAATCCTTGAGTTCACTTCAGAGGGTTTGTTGTGTTGGGAAGCTGGGTCAGAACAATGATACTCTCAACTTTTTTGGATAAGAGAGATTAACCAGAGAGTAACGAGATTACTTGCCCTGCGCCAGTATTTTTGTATTTGCATTCAACTCCATTAAGCAATTGGCAGTCAGAAATAGTTTCTTAATTACTGCACCCAATTAGGTGACCATGTAGATACCGAATTACTACCTGCTACTTCAAACCTAATCTGATTTTTGTTGTTGTTACCCCCTTCTTGTTTCCTTCAATTTTAATTATATGGATTATATTATCATTGATCAGTTCCTTAAAAAATATCAGCTTCTTAATGGTAAGAATGAAATAACTAGAGCAGCAAAATATAACAGTTCCAGAACAGAAGTTCTTCCTAAGGGCAAAATATCTAGAAGCAAAGAGTATAAATTTGTATTTGTTATTCTGTCAACTGATAATCTGGTAGCATTTTAAAAGAAGAATATTTTAGTAATTTACACAGCAGATGGTTCTCTATCCTTGTGATGCTCAAAAAATAAGTAAATTTAAAACAATAAAAGTATTACCTGTTGTCACTCAAATTTAAAACACGGAGTTTCTGCATTTGACCAATTTCATCGGGAAGAAATTCCAGTTTGTTTGAACGGAGGGACATGACGGTTACATTCTTGCAGCTGCCAATCTGTAGATAAGAAAGACAACTATTAGACATGTTCAGTGATATAACAACAGTTTAGGATTAATGAATTGGGATGCCTTCAAATTAATTAAATTCATTAATTTTCACAAATGAAAGCAAATATATGTGCCCCAGGATATTGTTGCAGGATCCAATTTGGGTTGGTCACCGGGACCAGAGAGTTTGTCTTCTGAGTTTTCGGACCGATGCTGGAGCCCGTCCACAGGCAACTTCTCTCTTCAGTGAACTTCCCTCTCCCTGAAGATGGGCTCCAGCGTGAATCCGAAAGCTCAGACAGAATGAAAAACATGCTTCCTTGATTCAATGATTAGAAAGGTTGAAAATAAAAGTCCCTCACACGATGTATGATTAAAAATTCTGAAATTGGAACAGATGTGACATTATTGGCTTTTTCACTTGGGCCAAGCATTTTCAAAAAAAGATGACTACTAAGGCAAAATAAATCTGAAAGCAAAATGAAATTGGTCCTCCTTGATTGTGCTGATGGATTATGGATGTGGTCTGCTAGGTGCTAGTATTCCTTCAACTATTATGGAAGGAAAGTTTCCAGTAATCCGCGGTGTGTTTTTGCAATATAAATTATTCAGAAGGAATTATACGGGATGGCTTTTGCTGCCTGTTAACACAGTATTCATAACACTGTTCTCCACATTACAGACCAATACTACATTGATATTACATATAAGTTCCTTCAAATCTCCTGAGACTCTTATCATTTTCTCTTTGAAATGCGTTAGCTGCTGCATTTTTTTCTGTACAGAAAGCAATTTAGAAGCACTTGATGGCTGAGGGAGCCATCATCAATACACTTATAATTAAATCTGGAACTACTGCAAACTATAACATTTCAAACTCCACCTGGATGCTATCATTTCCAATTCAACCAATGACTAAAGCACACAGTCCTGATACCTTTTAATAATGATACAAATGAAAAAAATATTTTAGATGAAGACTAGGTATTACTGAAATAGATTGTATTTCCCAATAAATCCTTACTTCTCTGGGAAGTTCAGTCAGGAAGTTTTCATCTACAGCTAAAGTTCGGAGACTGTGCAGATAGCCAGTGGTGGGAGGTAGAGACTCCAGTTCATTACAGCTGCAGTCAAATTCTTCTAATAAAGATAAACTGAAATGTTAAGTGCATTTGTTAGTCTAGCTCTCAAAGGGATTAATCATTATTTTCTTTGTAATTAACTTTCTATATTCTGATTTGTAAACTATGCAAATAGGCATAAGATTTTCACTGGGTGAAAATATCAATTATCTGACACTTTTTTTTTTGCAATTACAAAATAAAGGTACATTGGAAGTACAAAAGGGATAGAGATTTGGAGCTGCTTTCAAATTAAAGCAAGCAATAATCCATTCAGTACCACGATTGTCAACAAAAACTGCCAGTTTTCCAGACTCAAAGCTACTTTACGTAAGAAGATTTCTATGTGAGGGTTTAGTAATGTGTATGCATTAATGTAAAAAAATACAAATTACAAATAGATATTTGTCAAAACATGCGGATAAATATATACGTGTGTGTGTGTGTGTGTATAGCAAAATTAGATTTTTCTTATTCTGTACTACAACATGTATATAAATGAAATAGGAATGGTTAAATTACTGCATTTTTCGGAGTATAAGACGCTCCGAAGTATAAGATGCACCTAGCTGGTCAGCTTCAGCAGAGCCTGATTAGCACAAGCAGCTGATTGTTGGTTGGATCAGCCTCCCAATGATCAGCTGATTCAGGCTGCAGGGATTATCATCATCTATTGCTGCCTCCACGCACCACATTTTCAGCCTCCACATGCCCCGTTTTCGGCCTCTGCACACCTGATTTTTGGCCAGTTCTGGCTGATGGGGATCGGAACAGGCAGAAAATGGGTGGGTGGAGGCTGAAAACAGGGCATGCAGAGGCCAAAAATGGGGCATGCGGAGGCGGCAATAGACGATGGCAATCCCTGCAGCCTGAAACAGCTAATCATTGGGAGGCTGATCCTACTAACAATCAGCTGCTTGTGCTAATCAGGCTATGCTGAAGCTGACCAGGCTGTTTGCTGCAAGGAGGCAACTTGCTGGGAGGCAGAGGTCGAAGGGTGGGGGCCATTTGGCAATATTTGCTGTGTAAGACGCACAGACATTTCCATCCACTTTTTTTGGGGGGGGGGGAGTGTATCTTATATTCCGAAAAATATGGTATTAATGAAATGAATTTTATCAATATTTTTAAACCCTCAATTCCTGTAAGAAAAATGACAAACATTGAAGTTGAAGTATTATATACTTGTAACCATAATACCAAACAACATTTGCTTTTTAAAAAAAATGTTTTAGTTTAAAAACTTAATGATTTGTGGTTGCTCTTACTTGAATGCTATGTTTTCTTTAGGCTCTATTGTTTGGTCATAGTTGTTTCTTAATTCCAACTGCATTAAAACAGACTATACCTTCCTACTTTGATTCTCTTAATGACCATAAAAAATAAAAATTCACAATTAAAGTTATGTTACTTGTATCAGCCCTTAGAAATGAGACATTCAAGGGAAATTTTTATCATTTGTAGGAATGATTTGTTTTTCAGACTGATAAGTACCATTCTATATAGACCTTGTATTGGAAAAAGAAATACAGAGAAAAACAATTGCTGTTAAAGGTATTTGGTGATATGATTACAGGTAGTCCTCAACTTACAACAGTTCATTTAGTGACCACTCAAAGTTACAATGTGATTGAAAAAAAATGACATGATCATTTTTCTCATTTACAATCACTGCAGCATTCCCATGGTCATGTCATCAAAATTCAGATGCTTGACAACTGACTCATGACGGTTGCAGTATTCTGGGGTCAATGATCATCTTTTGTGACCTTCTGACAAGCAAAGTCAATAGGGAAACCAGATTCACTTAACAAATACGTTACTAACTAAACATGTTACAAATTTGTTAAGTGATAAAGGCTGTAAAATAGGACAAAACTCACTTAGCAAATGTCTAACTTAGCAACAGAAATTTGGGCTCAATTGAGGTCATTAATCGAGGACTACCTGTAGTTATTGTAAAATTAAGCCACATATACCAAACTATGAATTTGAAGTTGATTGATTAAGTACATCTTCGTATTGTTATTTAAATTAGAACTTCAACAATTTCACTTAAATATCTACAATTGACTGTTTACAGCTATCTAAATCATCTCTGAATAATCTAGGGGAAGATTTGGGGCAAAGAGCAGTTATTATTTAACAGGAATATTCTTGACTACCAGTTTTGAAATGTAGGTGGAAAGAGGACACATCCTGATATCTCACAGTCTGTAATAATATGTTTTACAGATGGCCCAATTCCAAACTTCTTTCTCACAAACTGCCTGGACTCATGAAAAAGGATGAGAATCCTGTAAATCCTCTATTTTTTTATGTTATCTTTAAAATTCCTTAGTCTAAGAAATCTAAAACAATTGATTTATAACCAATAACCTATTTAGTTCCCATTTTTTTCTGCTACCAGTAGTAGCTGCTCAACTTGCATGAAAGACTGAAATCTATCATCCTTTTAAAGCTGTGTGGTGATTAGTGAACTAGGTTGCAAACAGAACAGCTGAAGGCTCTGTTAGGTTTTTGATTTTATTGTTTGTGCTGCCAAGCTGTCATTCAAACCGGAGAAAGCAATTGTTTTGAAAGCTAACATTCAGAAAAATTAGCTGAGATCTACTTTATGCTTGCACTGACAGAAGCTAATCCAGTGATAAGCATTGTACTTTAACAGACCACCTGGCAGAACAGTCATGATTCATTGTCTCTACAGCATGCTAAAAGATGTAATATTCCTTTATAATTGTCAATATGGCCTGAAATAAATAAAGCTGAAACTATTATAGGAAAGAAACTCTGGGTTTCTAATGACATTCATGGTAATATGACTCTAAACATTGCATGTAATCTTATAGAAAGAACTGTATAGTTCTCCAGTTTGCAAATTAATTATTCATTAATACAATATTGGTACTGGTGGTGGAAAAAGGATAAGAACTATCACAACATTGTGCCTGTCCCTCTGCCTCCCCTCCTCCTCCCTTTACCTTCATTTGGTCCAGAAAGATAACATGATCAGTGTTATTGAAAGCTACTGAGAACCAGGACAATTGCACCATCGCTATCCCAGCTCAGCCATAGGTCATTAATAAGGGTGAGCAATGCCATCTCCATACTACATTCTGGTCTGAATCCTGATTTAAAATATGATCTAGGTTATCTACTTCATCTTGGTTCCTCTAAGCTGAAATCTTAACAAGAAGATTGGAGAAATTGTTCAGACAAGCGATGGCTTCTTGAGGAGAAGGATGAGCCATTCCCTTACTCAAGGATCATTCATTATCACATCGCCCAGCCACTAGGCACTATCTGGACAACTCTAAATAATCAGGTGGGTCATAAATTTAAAGGATAGGTGGTCATGTTAATTGCACCAAACATCTTGTCTATCTCCTCAGGATTTACGGTGTCAAACATCTATCAGTTAACAGAACAAAACAATGCCTTAGTCCAGTGGTCGCCAACCGGTGGGCTGTGAGAAAATTTTGGTGGGCCGCAGAGAAATGTCCCCCTAAAGCAACCCCCAAAGCCCGCCCACCCGCTGGCTCCCACCCTTTGGCCGAGCGCAAACCTGCTAAAAGCAGAGTAGCCCTTGCCGGGCAGGATGAGGTAATGGTGCTGTTGCAGCAAGAGGGGGCTGAAGCGGCAATGGAGATGGACGGAAGGTGCAGGAGCGCCGTGCTACTTGCAATTGTGCGGCACTCCCAGATCTTCCAGTTTGCCTCTCCTGGCCTGGACTCTTCCTCGATGGCCACGGGCGGTAGGGATGGCCCAGGACAGGAAAAGTACTGGCTGGTGGTGGTGGTAGGGGGCGGAGTGGGCAAGTCTGCGCTCACCATTTAGTTCAGAGGTCTGGAATGGGGCGTCGGCATCAGTTTCCTCGTCCCTCTTGGTACTCTGCTCTGCTGCCCCCCACCATCACCACCCAAAGCCCCAGCCATCACTGCCCGGGAAAAGCACAGGAAAAGTCAGCAGAAACATAGCTCTTGCTGGGGTGAAAGAGCTGAGATCGAGGAAGGCACAGGCAAGAGAAGTCGGAAGCTGACGCCTTTGAAAAGTGCCGCTTTCTGTTGCCTGTGCCTTCTGATCTCTGCTCTTTCACCCCAGCGAGAACTGTTTCTGCATGCTTTCTTTTCCTGGGGGAGGGGGGGCAGCAGAAACGTCAGGGTTGCTCTCCCCTCTTAGCAAGCCAGGCCTGGAGGAACGTGAAGAATTGCGGGCGAGCGCAGGAGAAAGGCATGTTGGAAAAGCCAACACATGTTTTCAGCGCATTCTCCTCTGTCCCGAAGTAGGATTGAGTGGGGGGAAGGGAGCAGGAGGAGGAAGGGTAGGAGGGAAGGAAAAGCCCAGTTGGCTTTCCTTTGGCATGGGGCAGGGGGGGAGGGGGGAAACCAAATGCACAGACCAAAAGAGCGCTGAGGAAGATGGGCTCCTAATAACTAGCCTGTTTGTGCAGGTGAGAGCTCGAGCTTTTCTGGGCTTGACACCCCCCACTTCAGCGTCCACACAGGGAGGGACACTTCTCTGCTTGGAAGCAGTGGGAGAAACCTAGAGGTTAGCCTTGGGGAGTCCTCTTCTTATGTGGAGGCCGAAGGGGGTCGTTGCCTGGTTATTAGGAGACTGTATCCCTCAGCACTTCCAGCCTGGCCCTCCTTCCCTCCCCCAACTCCAGGCAGCCACACCTGGCAAAGGAGGGAGAGGTTCCTCTGACTGGGGGAGATACGAGATGACAGGCGACCAGATTTGGGGGGATCTGCTTTTCTTCCGTTTGACGGGGAGCCGGTTCCTCCCTGTCCAGATCTTCCCAGCCTCCAGGCATCATGTGGCTTCTTAAATCCTCCCTCTTTCCCTCCCCAAAGGATGAGAGAGGCCCCTCCTTTCCCTTTGCTCTGCCCCACAGTTATGATTAAGCTTTTACGATTTTGTTATAATTAAATAAGCATGTGTGTGTGTGTGTGTGTGTGTATTTAATATTAAAATTTAATATTAAATTTATGTTTAATATAAAATATTAAAAATTTATATTAAATATATTATCTTTTTTAAAAAATTCATATTAGTGGTCCTCGAGATTTAAAAGTATGAGTTTGGTGGTCCCTGAGGTTGAAAAGTTTGGCGACCCTTGCCTTAGTCAATTCACATGAACTTGTCCAGGCATAGTCTAACTCTGAGTAGATTTGAGCAACTTTATATGCGAAGTGCCTGGAATATTCCTCATAGTGGCCTTGAAGTTATTCCTGTGACTCCTCCCTCCTCAAAAGACTGTGTCATTCTAAACAAGGCTACTACTCCTGGATACAATAAGAATGGAAAAAATAATCATGTTTTGCTGCTCTTCTTGCCATGATTTAATTCCTAATGTGGCCCTTATACATGTTTAACTTTATTAAACATGATTAACTGAATTTTATGTCAGCAGTTTGCTCAATATTATCTGAAACAGATTTGTGTTAGAAATGGAAGATTTCTTACAATTACTAATGTGAGACTGCATTCACAGATTGATTTTATGAGATGCTGTATATAATTTATTATGAACTGACATTAAATTTAATTTAAAATTCATAATATTCCACAATGTCTGTTGCACGTATTGGCTTTGGATGCTACCACTGAAACATGAGACCAGGAATAGATACATATTATTTGTCAGAGATAATGCAATTTATAAATTCTTCAATAATGTCCAAACATTTTATATGAAGATTTTCATATGGTCATGATTTTAGTAGATTACAGATGAATAATTATTCTTTCCACTATTATTTATCTTTATGTAACTAGATCTGAACTCAAAACTTCCTTTAGGAGTTCAATTTGTATATTTTGTTTATAATAATAAAATGCAAGGACTATTAATATTCATAAGAATCATAAAAATGCATCACCTAGATATAATGCATTTTGTTAATGTTTTATCCATAAAAAATTTTACACTAAGAAAATTATCATGTCAGAAAAGAGTTTAGACTTTTACATAGTATTATTGCCACTATCATTTTGTATAAAAGTTATAACTGGATGGTATAGGTTTATCGAAAAATATTATCTACTGTTAGCTATCTTACATTATATTTCCTTTCTGTGAAGACTTACTAGATGTGAAAATAACAATAATATTATTGCTCCCTATGTTGTGTTTTAAGCAATAGAGAAAGAGCTCAAAAGGCAAATTTTGAACTTTTAAAAATACTTTGTGATTCTTTCCACACCAACCAAATCCAGATTTATATCCTTCATCAAAATGCCTTCCTATGTGTAACATACTTTGCGATGGAAAAAAAACACCTTACACATCATTGCAAAGATGAAGGGAGCCATTAGCAGCAGGAGAGTCTAGCTAATTACAATTTAAGCAGGCAGACCTACTAGTTCCAGACTTTGAGCTGATACCATGTTCAAAACTGTCATTTATCTGGAATTAGCAACATGATCAGCCACAGGCTAGTTCACGCTGAGCTCATTTCCACCAATTATGTTTTTCTCGCAATAAAAATATTTGTCTCTACTCCACAAAAAGGAATGGCATGATACTATACCAAATCAGTTTTTAATAAGATTTTTAATGAATGCTTCAAAATAATTTGATGGCTTTTTAACTATCACAAAAATATTTGTAAAGAATTAGGTGATTTCTAAGCCACTTGAGGTATACACTTCTAATTGAAAATATCAAAAAGGGTTCTGACTTATTAAATCAGTACAGGTAGTCCTTGTCTTACAATAATTCATTTAGTGATATTTGATGTTACGACGACACTAAAAAGTGATCTATGAACATTTTTCACACTTGTGACCATTGAAAGGTCCCCATGATCATGTGATCAAAATTCAGATGCTTGGCAACTGCCTTATATTTATGACAGTTTCGGTGCATTGGATCATCAGCTCTATGACCTTCTGACAAGCAAAACCAGAAATCAGATTCAACTTAACAACCATGCAACTAACTTAACTGCAGTGATTCACACAGCAACTGTGGTAAGGAAGGTCATCAAATGGGGCAAAACTCATTTAACAAATATTTCATTTAGCATCACAAATTTTGGGCTCATTGATGGTCCTAAGTAGTTGCCAGTTACATCACTGAAAATAAATGATTCAGGAACTAATTTACACCAAGCCAAAAGTAAGGGCTCTAAGACATAAATTTGGTACATCAGATTATGGCACTTCGCAAAACATCATCAACATGAGAAAGAAAGAGAAATAAGACTTTTTCTGTCAAAGTAATTTGATCAATAAACCCACATAGGTGTACATATAATGTATACCTATGCATATACGTTTCTCTTGGTGCTCACTATATTTCTGCTAACACCTAAAAATGCTAATTTTATAACTTAATACAACTGTATAAGTTGCCTACTACAGTGATACTAATTTTTAGTTTATTAATTCATTAGATGTATATGTTAGTTTTCTCTGGGGGCTCAGGGTGGTGTGTACAGTACCCTCTCTCCTATTTTTCTACCCTTTTAAACTTTTGTTAAGCAATTTACACTCCAAACAAATAAAACATATTGTCAGTTTCTATTCAGTAAAGCAGATAGCAAAATTATATTTCAAAATATAACAATATTAAAAATAGTCCAGATGTTTGTTTAAAACAATGGGACCAAAACCAGATATGGGTTTAAAGTATAAACAATATAACCCTGATTTAGAAACTACAATGGTTGGATATTCACAGCATGCAAAACCAAAGCCAACCATACTATAGTTAAACATTTTATGTTGTTGTTATTCTATGAAATTTGTTAATTTTAACATTGTTTCAGAAGCAGACATATCCAGAGGTTAAAAGGCTGGAAACATTTCATATACTTATCTCTTCATTAACTGAAATCAATAAATCAGTATTTTAAAAAGAAAACCAAGATCCTTAACTTGATTTCCTCAAATAATTACTTATCTAGGGGCATTTATGGGGCTTTTGGTCTTGCACAGAGCAATAGGTTGAACTTTCTAAAGCTAGGCAAAAGGTTTTTTAGCAGGAAATCTGTATCTAGAGCTCACTGGACATGACTCATGACATCCAAGAGTTTCTTCTCAATAAGGAAATAATGAGTAAGAGCAGATTATAAAATAATAAAAGAAGAAGCAAATATTGTATAACAAAGAACAACAATTAGGAAAATAGAATTAATAACAACCCCGTTTTCACAATGAATATACTCCTGTGGAGAATGATGTCTAAGTATTACTAGAAGAAAAGGCCATGCCAGTGGGAAATGCTTTCTCATCTGTTTCCCCATCTGGTGGAGAAGATGAACCAAAATTACTAATCAAAGTATTAGTGACTTTGGTTTTGACATCCCTGCGATATAGTACAGTTTTTGAGTGCTTGATGAATCCAAGATATGATGCAGCCCATCAATATAGTGATGACCGAAATAAATAAAAACCCAAAAATACAAAGAACGAAATTATGTTGCAGAAAAAAAGAAAAGGAAATAAGTGTTTCCTTTTTGTTAAACTATAACCAAATGAAAAGTTTTAAAATGTTTTCCACTTACTTTCCAATAGCATTGGGCAGAACTGTAAGTTGATTGTCATCTACTTTCAAAGTGGTAAGTCTTTTCAAGAGCCCTGGAGAGAGGAAAGAGGAAGGAGAGAAAGAAAAGAGAGAAAGAGAGTGGTTGTTAAATATTTGTTAATGTTTCTGAACACTGCTTAAGAGAGACAGAATAAAGGGATAGTGCAAGCATATGCTACATTTTTTTTTTGTAATGCAAAGTGCAGCTATTGTTGTTTGATAATTCTGAGTATTATGTTATGGTGCCTATTAAAAAATTTCTGAACAGAACTGACTTGAAATAACAGGATTGAAAGAGAAAGAGAGACACACACAGAGAGAATCTGGTAGATCACGGTGTAAACTCGCCACATCACGTTGCCGTCACATGACGTATCGAGAAGATTTCCATTTGTGGAGCTGGGGTGGGTGTGGCCTGACCATGACACATCCGGCCCATGGGCCACCAGTTTGAAAGCCCTGTGATAGATCAACTGAAAATGTTCTTTTCCATAGATAAGCAAACTACTTTTCCAAAAATACATCAATTTTTGCTGCTGCTAATACAGTGCATCTAAATGGATTGACATCCCATTTAAATTAATTCCTACATTACTCTTTTTAGAATGCACTTTGAAACTTATATCTGAGGACGTTAATTTTACATACTGTGAAAATAATTATTCTTGGTGACATCTTCTACATGAAATTACTATATCTATGGTAAGATACATTCTGAAACAAAAATATTAATGCTATTGAAAATTTCTAAGAGACATATTCAAGCATGAGTTGTTATGTAGGGAAATTATATACTGAGCAATTTAATGAAATGCATTTCTATAAACTTTGAAGCATGACATAAAAACTTTCATTTGTGTTCTTGAACTTAATGTAAGAGCAGTATATAACTTTCAAGTTAAAGTTGCTAATAGCTCATGCTTACTGGTTTTTTTTGGTTACTATTGAGAAGAATCTAAATGAATTTCATCTATTACCCCAAACCCAATTCCAGAGTAGTCATTATTCAGTCAATACCTATAGAATCTGGCAGCTGTTGTAGCATATTTGATGACAATAGTAGATCTTCAAGAGCTTCACATCCTGATATGTCCAGATCTATACTTTCTATCCTATTTTTTGACATATCCAAGTATATCAGTTGTTTTAATCGTCCTATAGACTTGATAAGATTACATAAGAATACAGTTAGTTGATTCAACTATTCATTGCAGTTACTAATATTTAATACAGTATAAACTTAAAAGTTAATGAACAGGCAATGTCAATTTATTGAAGCAAAAGTAAACTGTCTTGATGTCTCATTGATCAGATTAAATGGAAAAACCAAGGACAACCAAAATATATTAGTTTCTAATATTTTGACTGAAACTATAGTTATTAAACTTTGAACGTTTTGTGTGATATCCATATGAAGCAAAGGTGATCATAAAAGAACATAATATACTGCCACTTATAGCCCACCAAATGTAGCTCCCAAGATAATGGACCTTCAACATGCCCTCTCTACCAGATCTAATGGAAAGAGCAGATGAAATCTGGGAGAGACAGACCATCAAATAATCTGGTCCCATGCTATGGAGGATTTTAAAGGTCAACATCAGCACCCAACTGTAACATGTGTTCTTCCAGAGACATATATAATTCCTCATGCCACCACATTTTGCACCAGCTGAAGTTTCTAGATATACTTCAAGGGCAGTCCCCTGTACAATGCATTGCAGTAGTTCAATTAGGAGGTAACCAGAGCATTAGTGACCATGAGTAGAACCCCTCAGTCTAGGAATGGGCATAAGTGGCATACAATACAAAGTTGTGCAAAGGCCCTTCTAGCCAATATGAGGGATACATTAGAACACTTCCATACTTCTGTGATACTGAAAGGCACCAAACACTTAGTCTATTTATATGAGTATACTTTTATACTGGATTAAGGTATACATTTTGGTAAGCATCCTGGTCTCTTTGATACTGCAGTACAATGTTGTATCCTTACAGAAGACAGTAACTATTGTGAACTCAAAATAGTACAATCAGCTCATCATTTAAATCTGGAAAACCAGATCTCATCTGAAACAATGGACCCTTGACAAAGACATCCAGCATGATTTAATCAAAGCTACAACTTTGTTTATATTGCCTTTCTATGGGAGACTGCTCTCTTATATTAAATGCTAGCTTGATACCTGTGCTTCACTATGAAACTATGTGGTTGGGCTTAGTTTTTGGGGAGGAAAATAAGGGGGGAAAATTCTGCCTCTGCCTACCAGCATACATCGGTATTCATTTGGCTAGCGTCCTGTCAGTGTGCGAGAGAGAGTGGAGGGCTGTTTTGAAAGTGAAACAGTATTTGCTGTGTGAGCAAGAGGGAGACAACAAGGAACCTCGGCATGGCTTAGCTCAACTGTTCTGTACTAAAGCTGGTTGCTGCTGTGAAACTAAAACTGAAACTCCTCTGCTTGTGTTTTGCATTTGGAACAGATTTCTTTTCAGGTTGGGAGGGGGAGTAGAGTTCCTTAGCATCAGAGCGTATTAATAATAATATACGAAATACTAATGCTCTGATGGTCATTTCGAAAAATCCTTTCTTAGCATCTAGAAGCCAAGAGGAACATACGTACCAAATTTCAAGTTTATGGTTCTGGAGATCTTGTCATGATGCGTGAGTGGTATTTCACTTTTATATATATAGATTTAACAAATATTTCTTGCCCAGCTCATAGGACGGCTTTTATTCTCTACTGCTATATAGTGATATTGATCTTCTTACAAAAACAAGGTCATAATTTTCCTGCCAATGTCCTTACTCAGTGGAGAAAATAAACAATTTGTCATGTGCTCTTGATGTTGTCCTTTTTGAACAGCACGGCAAACCTAATAACAATTTTTAATCTGAACTCATGCTAATTTGGAGATTATTTGCCTCATCTTATTTAAATATCTCCAGAAACATCACTAAAACTGCTGCAGTTGACATTACTTTGGCTTTATGAACATAATAAAGATTTATTTGATTTTCAATTGCCGGTCTAATAATTTTGCTAATTTGCTTGCCCTTTTAAGTTGATTTACTTTTTTATGTTGATCTATTCTTTTATTAATTACTCTTTGTTTGTTTTCACATGAGTGTTTCTTTCTTCTTCCTTTGGGTTTATGTACTTTCATTGTTATATTACTGAAATTCTCCTCTTTGTCTCTGTATAATCTTTAACTGGGTGAAATGATCCATTGTAGAGCAATAACTTTTAAACCAAGGCACCTCAAATAGTCTAAACCAGGGGTCACCAACCTTTTGGACCTCAGGGACCACCAAACTCATAATTTTAAATCCCAGGGACCACTAACCGGTTCTGTGGGTGTGGCCTAATTTGCAGGTGTGGCTTGGTGGTCATGTGACTGGCTGGGCATGGCTTGTATGTAAATATTATAAATATTTATATAAATATTGAATTTTTTATAAAAAGGAGAGCAACTTTTACCCAAAATCAGGCAAAGCAGGCAGATAGATTGAGTTGCTCATAGAATTACAGATTCATTCAGAGATCTATCTATCTGCCATCAGCTAGCTCAGTCTGCCACATGAAATTTGCTTGATGTGAGTCTGCACTGAATAATAGAACCTTCAGTCCTAAGGGAGGTTCGACTGTGCTTAAAAGCAGAGCCGAAGATCTAAAGACTAGCTAGAAAGCAAGAAACCCAACCATTTCCTGCTTCCTAGCTAATCTAAATCTCCCGGCACAGCGAAAAAGGAAAAACAGCAACTTAGCAGGCAAGTTTGCCAGGTAAGGAGTGAGTGGGCGGGGAGGGTTCCCGTGGGCCATGTGGGTGGCGCAGCCTGGATTAATTGCTTTGGGAGGGGGTGCTCTGGGGGTGAGATTTCTGTATGGCCCACCGAAATTTTTTCGCGGCCCACCAGTTGAATGAGTCCAAAATCTGTAACCCAGATTCTGATGGAATAGAAATTGGACTAATTCTATAAAATATTTTGTAAAATAAAAATCGTTAAATATTTTATGATATAATAAAAATGTCACAAAAATTTCCTATGGTCAACTTCTGATGTTTGACTGTGCTACACAGTTCAACATAGACTATTTTTAAGGCAGATACATATGTCAATATTTCCCTGCATTTTTAATAACTTTTTCAGTGAAGGCAATACCAAAATAACTTCAGTAAAGAAAAATGATCTGTACTTCCAAAATATATTAAATATACAATTCTGCAATTCTACCAGTGCTTTATATGTACATATATGTATATACAGCCATACCCCAGGTAATGTTTGAAGTGAATTGTTGTCCATCCATAATTCTTTTAGATTTTGTATTTGTTCCAGAACTTCAGGCTGCAAAAAAACAGCTTTTATATAAATATATACTCTTAAGTGATTATTACATTAAATATTATTGAAATTCATATTTTCATTTATGAATGGTTTAATCAGTCTATACATAATTGGTCAACTAAGTATCAAGCTGACACTTGTTAGAACTGGGTAGAAAAGTTAGCAGCCCAAATAACAATAGTAGATCTGGATAAGTGTAAGTGGATCATAAGCTTCCTAATAGACAGGAAGCAGCAGTTGAAGCTAGGCAAAATCACATCAGATACTTGTACAATTAGCATGTGTCATCCCCAGGACTGTGTGCTTTCTCCACTTTTCTCTATATACCAATGACTGCACCTCAAAAGATCCCTCTGTTAAAGTACTGAAGTCTGCAGATGATACAACGGTGATTGTCTCATTTGAGACAAAGACAAATCTGCATACAGACAGGAGGTTGAACAAGTAACATTATGGTATGACCAGAACAATCTTGACATAAACACACTCAAAACCATAGAAATGATGGTATTTTAGGAGAAAACCTCCTATACTACCACCTCTTCCAATAGTAGACAACACAGTATCAACATTAGAGACCTTCAAGTTTCTAGGTTCTATAATATCTCAAAACTTAAAATAGACACCTAACATCAAAAATGTTACCCAAAAAGCATAACAAATAATGTTTTTTCTGCGCCAACTCAGAAAGCTCAGACTGCCCAAGGAGCTGCTGATTCAGTTTTATAGAGGAATTATTGAGTCTATCATCTGCACCTCTATAACTGTCTGGTTTGGCTCTGCAACCAAATGAGACAGACACAGACTTCAACAGATAATTAGAACTGTGGACAAAACAATAGTTACCAACCTGCCTTCCATTGCGGACCTGTATACTGCACCAGTCAAAAAGAGGGCTGTGAAAATATCTACAGACCCCGCACATCCTGGATATAAATTGTTTCAACTTCTACCCTCAGAACAATGTTATTGGGCATTGCACAACAGAACAACTAAACAAAAGGACAGTTTTTCCCCCATGCCATCACTCTGCTAAACAACTAATTCCCCAAACATTGTCAAACTATTACTAAGACTGTATTACTATTCTTCCCATCCTTCCTACTACCTTTTCTACTGATGGCTATAACTTTGTTGCTTGTGTATGGGGCATCTTTATGTAGACTGAGAACTTATGCACCAAAGACAAATTCATTGTGTGCCCAATCACACTGGGCCAATAAAGAATTCTATTCTATTCTATTCTATTCTATTCTATTCTATTCTATTCTATTCTATTCTATTCTATTCTATTCTATTCTATTCTATTCTATTCTACTCTATTCTACTCTATTATAATTTTACAAACTCTATACTTTTAAATATTATGAGTTATAAGTATAAGCCTTTATTTTAGTAATTTTTATGTTACTTCATTTTAAAGCAAGATCACCGTCTGCACTTTCCCATATTATCCCACAAAATTTACAGCCCTAGGTACAATATACAAAGAAACAACTAGTTATATTTCTGATTCTCCTACTCTCTTCTAAATAAAGGTTCACCGACAGAAATAGATCCAGAAATAAATAGTAACTGATTTTTGAAATCATCTACATAGAACAAAAATTTGTTCAATATATAGAGGAAATTAAATAGTGCAGCAACTTTTTTTCTCAAGGGAGCAAATTTGCCTTAGAGCATAATGATATGAATCACTAGACTGAGGATTTGTAGATTAAATGACTGCTTCTTTTAGAATGATTGTTGTGTTTGTTTTTGAACAAATGTTCCTTACCAGCTCAGAAAATTCATTATTACCCAGGTCAAGCCTCTCCAGCTGGGTCAGTTTAAGCATTGACCTACAAAAAAGTAAAGACAATTATAATCATTTTATCTAATAATACATTTAGTAAATCTACAATATGCAAAGTGATAAGGCATGCATGGTTATTCACATTGTTAAAACTAAACATGTCATAGCAGTCAGCAATTTTTTGGTCAAATTAAGAATTTGCTGCTTTTATTATGAAAGTGCTTTTGGGCAAACAATCTTATAATGGATTGAAGACCCCTAATCTTAAAATACATGATTTGTGTGAGCTGGCTCTCATTTTATTTAAGCTGAGATTTTAAATCTGTAGAAGAATCAACATCTGATCCTATTTAAGGAACATTTTTATAAATGGAAAATGATTTCTGCAATACAGTATTGAAAATGATTTCTATACTGGATCAAAATGCTAGCATTTTGTAATAATGGGTTGGGGAATTTTCCAATCCCAAAGTATTGAAAATATCCTATTAAATATATAATATGAATATGCTAAGATCACTGTACATGAGCTATATGAACACAGATATAAAATCATATTTTGCAATACTGTAATACAAATTATTCTGGCTTGGGTTTTCCCTCATTGTGAATTTTATATTGTTTCCCCTTTATTGTTGGAATAGTTCCAATATTAAACAATCAAAGCTAACTTCTGGCTAAACAACGCAACACGTCACTTCATATTTGGATCAATTCTCCCAGTGATGTTGTCTAGATGCGTTGAACTTATGTTCTGTAATTCTCTACCAGAATAGTCTTCAGATTATCATCTCAGAAAAAATAGCAGGAAGAAAAAGACTAGTGTAAAATAGGATTGTAGAGAATATTGATGCAAAAAAGTTGAAAACTGTCACTGTTTGACTTGGAAGTTTATACAATCTATCGCTAATGAGTTTTATATATTTCAATTACTTTTATGTATCTGATACTGTCTGCCTAACTCCATAATTTACTTATTAGTAACATTTTTCAATATAAGACATATGAGAGATCATATAAGACATATTTTCCTCCAAAAAGAAATTGGCTATAAAAATGAACATTATTTGACATAAACATTATTATTTGACATGAACATTATTTGACATAAAGTAATATTTTCTGTTCTAAATTTTCACTTGACTTTCCTCCATTCTGTTCCTTTGATTTCTTGTCCCAATGAGGCAATTAATCATTGTTACAAACAAACTAGTTTTTGCCATGTGGCTGGACATGGAAGGCATGAAACAAACTGTCAGTTGCTTCCCAATGTCTTCTCAATTTGGGCAGTCATTAATAAAAAAATTAACTGATATGCAATGAAGCTTTATTTGCATTTCAGAAGAATAATATGAAGTTAGATTAATTACAAAAACTCTTTTACAAGTAACTATGATCCATCCATCCATCCTTTCTCCCTCCCTCCCTCCCTTGTTTTATTCAATGCTGTTAAATTCACCAAGACCATAAGTGAAGTATTTATTTGACATAAATCATTTATCTCAATGTTATACATCGTTGCCTTTTATAATTACAAAATGGTTCTTTGACATTTCTTTGAGATACTGCCTTTTGAACAACAAACTATTTAGCATTATGGAGAGTCAAACAATTATATAAGAGAAAATCAACACTAACATTGCTCTAGATAAATACTGACCTCAGAGGAAGCAGATCAGAGAATTTTATTCAATCTTATTTTTAGACCTATTTTTTAGTCTTGGAGGAAAAAAAAATCAAGGTAGGTATGATATGGAGGCAAGGACTCCAGGAACAACACAAAAGAACTTGTCCAATGTTATGCATGTGAATTTACAGGGAAGCCCAATTGAGTACTTGGGAATTTATGTGATATATACTGGGGTCATGAAACCGAAGAAGCAAGAAACATCTAGACCCTTCTGAGACTGTCACTGTTGGATGAGCACTGATGAGACATCTATAAATTATGACTCCTGCATGAATGCACCAATTATCACATTAAACAAGAGGAAAACCTTCTATGCACCAATTCCACCCGCTCTTTTTACAATTTTGTAAACAACAAACTAAAAGACTCAAGGTCCATCCCACCCCTGATAGGAGCTAATGCAAAAGACTGCAACGACGACACCATTAAAGCCAACATCTTTAACACATTCTTTGGTTCAGTGTTTGTAAACAGCAATGGATCATGCCCAGTATTTCCTAGCCGAACCACAGAAAACTACAATGATCTAATACATATCGATTTTACAGAAGACAATGTTGAAAAAGCACTACGCAATCTAAAACCATCTCTATCTATTGGACCGGACGGAATATGTGCCTACTTCTTAAAAAAGCTATCTAGTTCCATAGCAGAACCTCTAAGCATAATCTTTGAAAAATCTTTCAGAACCAGCTCCTTGCCTAACCTATGGTCACAAGCCACGGTCATCTCCATTTTCAAAAAGGGAGACCACAGCCTAGTTGAAAATTACAGACCAATCTCCTTATGCTGCATCACCTGTAAAGTCATGGAATCAATTATTAACCAATCCATTATCCTCCACTTAGAGACAAACAACCTACTCTCCAATAAACAGTTTAGTTTCAGAAAAAAACTATCCTGTAATCTGCAACTCTTACACTGCAAAAACATATGGACTATGTTAAGAATATAAGTCACCTAACAGGTATTTGGGTTAGAAATATATAAACCAGGATAGACATTTTAATACTGTCTCTTTAAGAGCAATTAGGTGTGGTTTCTCAAACAGCCATAAGATGGAGCCAGAAACCTGGTTTATTTAGTCTTAGTCTCAGAAGAGAGTGTGAGTAAGTCTCTGTTTCCTTCTGTTGGAAAGTATTGCCGTTTCTCCATTTCTTCTAATTGACTGATATTCATGGATTTGATGTAAGTCTGATACTGAACTGTTTTTGACACTGGACTTTGTTATTGGATTATCCCTAGATTGAAAACTTACTGATCTTACCTGTGAATGACTTTGGACTGCCCATTTTGAACTTTGCTTTAAACCTTTCTGGAAGTAAAAACCTACATTAACTGTACAGTGTATCTGTGTGCTGTGTGTGTATTATCAAAACACTTCTCTCACTAGGTCTCCTTGTATGAGCTCATTCTCCTAACGGGGAATTACCTCAACATTGGTTATGGGCCCAGGCCATACCAGGCTCAGATAACTGAGAGTTAGTGTGAATACACAGTACTGTATACAGACAGCTGTTTACTGTTTAATTGTGGGTTACTATCCTGGTCTATGAAGTGCAGTCTTCTTCTGTGTCGAGAAGGTTTATGGAATGTAGTTCAAGACCCACTGGATGTAAATGCTTGGGATCCTGATAATGAGGATGATGCCAAGAAGCTTGCTGACTTTAAACAGAACAACAAACGAGCTCTTTGTATAATTGGACTAACACTGAGTGACCAGCAGCTAGTCCATATTCGTGGTGAAGAGTCTGCTGCTAGGTGTTGGGAGAATTTGAAGAGGATTTATGTTCGTGACAGTGTAGGTGCACACATGTGCTGTGTGTGTATTATCAAAACACTTCTCTCACTACGTCTCCTTGTATGCGCTCATTCTCCTAACGGGGAATTACCTCAACAGACTACACAACTCGATCAGGGCAAAACAATAGACACAATCTACATAGACTTCTGTAAAGCCTTTGATTCAGTGGTACATGACAAACTACTACTAAAACTGAAATCTTATGGTATCTCTGGACAACTGCATAACTGGATAGAAGCATTCCTGTCAAACAGACAACAAATGGTCAAAATTGGGAGTGTCCTATCAAATTCTGTACCTGTCAATAGTGGTGTCCCCACAAGGCAATGTTCTAGGACCAACTCTCTTCATACTCTACATAAATGACCTCTGTGATCATATTAAGAGCAACTGCATTCTCTTTGCTGATGATGTAAAGCTGTTCAATACCACAGACAATACTGCTACCCTTCAAAAAGATCTTGACTATGTATTAGAATGGTCAAACAATGGCAACTTCAAATCTCAACAAATAAATGCTCTGTCTTACATATTGGCAAAAAAAATAATCAGAAAATAAAATCCAAGCTGAATAGTCAAGACCTTGTTGATGATCCAAGCTCTGTAAAGGACCTTGGAATACTCATTTCTAATGATCTAAGTGCTAGAGCCCACTGTAACTACATAGCCAAAAAGGCATTAAGAGTTGTTAACCTAATCCTACATAGCTTTTTCTCTGGTAATATCACACTACTAACTAGAGCATACAAAACATTTGCTAGACCAATACTCGAATACAGCTCATCAGTCTGGAACCCACATTACGTATCTGATATTAGCACAGTTGAGAAAGTCCAGAAATATTTCACAAGAAGAGTTCTCCACTCCTCTACTTGTTGTAGAATACCTTATGCCACCAGACTTGAAATTCTAGACCTAGAAAATCTGGAATTATGCTCTCTTCAGTCTGATCTAAGTATGGCATACAAAATCATACATTGCAATGACTTACCTGTCAATGAATACTTCAGCTTCAACCATAACAACACAAGAGCACACAATAGATACAAACTCAAGGTTAACCGCACCAAATTTGATTGCAGGAAATACGACTTCAGCAACAGAGTGGTCAATGTCTGGAATACTCTACCTGACTCTGTGGTTTCTTCCCCAAACCCTAAAAACATTAACCTTAGACTGTCTACTATTGACCTCACCCCTTTCCTAAGAGGTCTGTAGGGGCATGCATAAGCGCACCAAAGTGCCTACCATCCCTGTCCTATTGTTTCTTTTATTTTTCTTATATGTACCCATTTCATGTATTCATAACTATGTATATACTTATACCTATTATCTTGTAAGCGATTGACAAATCAAATGAATAAAATAAATAAATAAATGAAGGAATATTTTATTATGTAGGGCAGACATGTGTAAAAGTGAAAAAGCACTGATATAAATACATATGTACCAAACTTTAAACACTATTACTCAGATGAAAACTGATTTTTTAAAAAAATTAAGACGCATGGATGTGCAGTTAGAAAGGACTTATGGATACCTGGTTTTCTAT